GGGGGGAGGGCGCTTTGTTTCTGAAGGCGCTAAACTCCTTTCCCGCCTTCCCTGCAAGCACTTTCTATCAGCAGTTTCCTCAATGCTTTATCACTCCTGGTCGTTAGCGAGGTCCTGTGGGCATTTCCAGTCCATCTCAAGCACTACTATTTATTCCTGAGATAAACTTATTTCCAATGCAAGGGGCGATAAATTTATTTCAAATGCGAGAATGTGGATTGCATGGTGGAGGCAAGGATGTTTTCCGAGTCCCTTTTCCACGTGGTGTGTTCCTTGCTGGTGTCTTCTCTAGGGCCACACGCGTGATACCTTTAATAGTTTTAGGTTGCATCAATTTTCTGTCATTGAGGCTCTCAAAAAGATTTGTTGGTTACCACGGATGAAGTGTTTTCCAGGAAATATCTGTGCTTGAAAAATTAACAAAGTCTAGAATAATTAATAAATGGAGGCTCTTCCCTATTCGTCGTGTTCAGTGATTTTTTTTTTTTTTTTTTTTTTTTGTGAACCTACTGGAAAACTGATTTCTCCCTTACTGTAAAATCAGTCACACACACACCATTGCTTTCCTAGTAAATAGAGTTGTAGTTGCTTGAAAAATGTACATTTCTAAAATTATTTCGGACTTTATGGCTCCTTTATATATATTAATACTACAGGTAGTTTTATGCAATTTAAGGAGCCTGCCGTTCCACTGAATTATTGGGAATTATGTCGCTTTGGTTTTTCGATGCTACAAACGAGTACCTGTGGCTTTAAGAAGCGGTTCGATTGAGTTAGACTCAGCCTTCATTTAAACTAGGAAACAAGGAGCCACTGAGAAATGCTTAGAAAAAAGATTTCTCCTGGAAAGCCTAAGATTGCAAGACTCTTTAGTTTACTCTTAACTGCTGATAAGCTTTATTTTAGGAATATTTCTTTCTCTGTTTCCGAAACTTGGACTCTGCAGCAAAATCTGACCAATCAAGTGCCTCGGCACCATTTTCTTTCCTCTGTTTTTCTCACTTTCAGCCATTTTCTGTTTCTGAGCCCCGGCGGGCTTTTAAAGGAAGGGGGGAAGGCATCGGGAGTGTAGTGCTTTGGGAATTAGAAAGTCTCTGCTGTGATTCATCTCCCTAGATTTGTTCATTGATATAGGGCTTGTGTTTTTCCGAACAGATTTTTTTCTTCCCATAGATTTATCACTGGGATTGCAGAAATTAGTTTTAGATAAAGCTAACTCATTTTATTTTACTGAGATGGGCAAATATAGGTTTACCTGGAGCTGTTTGCATATTTTTATAATAAAAAAATTATCAAATCAAGTAAAATAGCTTCTTCTAATAGACGATTTAGAAGATATTTTGTCTTACATAAGCCATCGGTCTGATTAGTTACATTTCAGCAAAATGTAGCATCAGAAATGATATTGTTTTGTTGTTTGGGTTTTTTTCATGCTCAAGAAACATTTTTTGAGCAGTGAGACAGGGAAACCGGTTTTATTTGCCTTTCGTCTTTTGTTATTTCTCCTCTAGTCTTTTGAAGACCTCATACTGTTGTACTAAATTATTTGGATTTATTCAGAGAGTTGTGTGCTCGAATTGTAATAAAACACTAACACTAACTTCATCAGCTGAGAAAGAAAGACGTTCAATGCACAGGTGACTGAGTGCAAGATTCCCCAAGTCCAAGTGAGAATAAAAGTGGAGGTTCCTCTGGTGCAAGCGAGGTTCAGCTGCATTTCTTTGTTTTTTGCAGGGGAACCTGAGAAAAAAGAATGCTGCCCAGTCAGAGCTGGATGTGAGCAAGAGCTCTGTGCTGAGCAGCTGAGGACTGGCTTGAGAGTTGCTGTTTGTAATCAAGGTGCTTTTGCAGGTGATTTTAGATGCTCAGCAAGATATTTGGCTAGGACTGTTCCTGGCCTTTTAGCCATCTCTCATGGATGAACTGCCTCAAATTAAAATCATGGCTTGAAAGAATGTTATCATCAGTCCAATGGATAAAATAGAGCATAGCTACTGATACCCTGGTGAAATGCTTCATTTCATCTAAATACATTATTAGTTTCTGAAAAAAATCTGAACAGCTATATATCCATATGAAAGCAAAGTTTTAATTCAAATTAACTATTTTAATGTAAGTATTTTTTAAAGGTGGTTTCCGTGCAAGCCAGTATGCAAGGTAGGTCCTGAACAGGTTTTCATTTGCAAATCCCTCTCGTGGGCTTCTTCACAATCTGAATCGCAGTCTTCAGTAACCAGCAACAGAAAAGTTTAAACTCTGCCAGCTGCAACTCTCCTACAGGCCTGGCCAGTGCTGTCCTGCTGCATCATTGCCTCTCTTCTCTCCCACTTTCAAGTTGACTCTTCAAGATGGGTATCAGCATGTTTCAGGTTGTGACTGTGCTGTTTGCACATCTACAACAGTATGAATTTTTTATTAAGATTTTATATATTAGAAAGCACTTTGTCAGCTACTCTTTAATTTTTAATTATGGAATTAATTTCACTGGCCACAATAACAGGGTCTGCTCCTAGGATCCCGCTGATTACTGCACTTTTCCAAGGGAAGGTTTCCAATGTGTCTTTTAATTAGTTCTCAGGTTACAACTTGAATTGGGTCGATCTGTAGAGTGACCACTGCACCAAAAATTTACTTTTAATCCCACACAGGCCACCCAGCACTCAACTCTCAGGTCCAGCACTCAACTCTCAGGTCCATCACTTGCTTCTGGTCAGTTGTCTCTTTTGTTGTTTGTTTGTTTCGGGGGTGTTTGTGGTTTTTTTTCATCTGACACTACCTCAATTCTTGAAGTTATTTCCTTGGTCCTTTCTTACCTTTTTCATTCTGCTTTAGGCTAGTTGTAGATTAGCAGCATTAGCTTTTAGCAAAACCTTTTTATTTTGGTCTTGTGGTCTAATGCTACAATCACTCCAGCCACTAATACTAAACTACTTAATATATCATGAGAATATGGAGAATGCAGTTAATGAAAATTTCCTGTATAAGACTATGAAGTAACACAAGATGGAAAGTTCTGTTCTCAGTGAAGCTGTTGTGGCAATACCAGGGTTTAGTAATAAAAAGGCAATAAATTAAAAGAACATTAATATAGAAAAACAATGAAACCCGGGTTTGACTTAAACCCAGTTGTACATAAAAAATGTGCTCTGGGGTGGAAAGAGCATGTCAAGGGCAGCGTGGTCCTGTCCCAGTTCTTCTCTCCTCACCTCTCTCATTTGCGTCATCTGTAGTGCTTTCTAATGTTGCATGTATTGATAATTTTCAGTTCCATATCTGTTTCCCTGTCCTTCAGGTTCTTTTACCCTCCAGCACTATGAGGTTTTGCTAGTCCATTAACATGAAGATGCTTTTTTAATGGGCTTGATCACTTTGTCTTTACACATCAGCTAAGTCTGTACTCTGCTGTGCTGTCATCTGTTCTCATGGGGAAATTAAATGTAGTTAAGATATTTAAAAAAAACCTGATTATCCTCTGTGTCCTTATTGCTTCTCTTTATTTTATTCTTGCTCATCACTATTTCTGAAAATCATCCATTTTTATTGCATGCTGTCCCCATGCCATGAATATTTGATGAATTTATGAGTATCCCCTTTCTCTCTGCACATGGATTTTTATTTTTATGCTATTCCAAGCACAGTACTGATCCATCTGTATGGATCTGTAAAGCCATACAAAATTTTGGCCTGTAAGAGCTTCAACTTGTGATGCCATCAATAGGAAAGTAATTGATCCAGAGGGCACATGGTACACTTTTCTGTAAGTGTTCCATATGATCCCATGGATTTTAGGGCAGTATGCCAGTGTTGTAATGAACATAAGGAACTAGAGCCTAAGGCATGATGTAAGAAGCATGACAAAAAAACAGACAATCAAAAAAACACAAAAAAACCAACAAACAAAAAAGGTGTTTCTGAGACAAAACATTTCAGAAACAGCTGAATGTCAGATGTAAATCTTTGTGTGTTTTAGATGCCAATTCACTGTGCTGAATGCTTATTGAATTAATTCAGACTACTAATGGCATATGAAAAACAGGTAAATTCTCCATTGCACCAATGCAATATCAAGTAGCCCTTCTGAATTTCTGAATGCTTTGCTGCGGTCAACTAGCTTTCTTAAAATCATTGTCATACAGAGATTGAAGGACTTCCAAGCAACAAACGGGGCTTTCAAGTTAGTTATGTTGTGAAATAGAACATTAAGGAAAGTTTTCTTCCTCTCCTTTTTCCTAACTGAAGTATGCTGTTGGCTGCTAAAATTGAATGTTATTTTCCTTGTTTGGGCCTATTTTGATCTTCCCATCAGTTGTCCCAGGCAGGCTCATCTGACAGGTTGTGGTTGTTTTGTTTTTAGGAAAAAAGGACATGTTTGGAAAAAAATAAGATAATTTCATGGATATGGACTAGTCTACTTCCAGGAGAGATGCATTTAAATGTCCAAGAGTGGTAACCATGCAGACACTGAAGAAAACTGGAGGGGTTGCCGACATTTGTCACTCTCGAGCTCCTTTGGTATTCTCAGTCTAGGACAGAAATTTTTCCAGAACACAAGTGTCACCCCACCTCTGCATCCAATGCTTGAAAACTGTAAGAGAGTCAGCAGCATTTCCAGGGCAGTCCTTGCTGTTTTGCTGGTTGTTGAGGCAGGTGTATGCAGAGTCTGAGTTCGCCTTACAGCAGCAGCACGAGTGCAGCCTACACAGAAATAAAACGAAAAGCGAGTTCAATACTGATTACGTGCTGTGAGGATTGAATTACAATTGTTATATGTGTGTGTATGCAGGTGTATATGCAGTCACGATACATTTTCCAAGATCTGTAACTGGGATCTTTAAATGGGAAGAATAGAAAGTTGTTAACATCTTTCTAAAATGTATCTAGTTTAACGGCCCTGAAATGCATGGCTGTAAGACTACATTGGAGGTAATTCATAATACACAGTATTTTGCAAGCACCTGTATATGTTATATTTTAAGAACATTTTCAAGTACTAAAACTCTTTATCCTCAAGAGTTTAGGGGGTAGGACTGATTTGGGTTTTGCTAATTACTTCTGCTTTGTAAGTATAACAGACTCGTGACTGGAGGGTGTCACACCCATGCTCATGGATCAATCACTTTCCTGTAGGAGACTCCAGTTTAAATGTAGGAGTCAAATTGAAGGTTGGATAGTGGTGCTTATGAGAAAGTGAACAACAAGGAAAGTCAACACGCACACAAGACACGAAAGAATAAAAAGCAAAGGCACTATGATGGAGTCACAATTCCAAAACAGGCTGTTGTCTAAGTCATAAAATGGATTTTTTCAGCAAATGTACAGTTTTAAAAGAGAAGGCAGAGAACTTTGAACAAAGTTGTCTGCTGCAGAGGGAAATAGAAAAAGAGCTAAAAGATAGCCACAAACATTAAAACAAGCAAGCAAACGAACCCCAGCAAAACCAACCAAACCCAGAATTGTTTCATTATGTTCTTGTATTGGAAAAAGTAATTTGGATAAATCTGTCTATCTTACAAAAAGACAGCTAAATTCTTTTTGAACATGTATCTACTACACTTTTGAGCAGATAAGTAAGAAGAGGTAAAGAAAGAGAGAAATTTTTTACCCTAAAATGTGTGAGTCATTAATAAGAAAGAAGGATGCTGGAGTATGAGGGTATTATTACAGCAACACTTTCATTGTCTTCTCTTTTTCAAAGAAGTTACACAAAGTTATGCCAGTGAAAGTGTTTTATAATGCTATGAGTTCTCAGAATATGAAGACTAAATGCAAATTAAAACAGAAACCACACCAAAACAAAATCCCTAAAAGCATCTTTGGGAAATTCTCATTTTCACACTTCTTGAAGACTTATTTATTTCTGTGTCAATATTTCTCTATGAACTGCAAAGACTATTTATTATTACCCAAAATCAATAGAAATCTGTGAAAATTTTTGCTGCTAAAAATTAGAAAGGGAAAATCCCAAATCTCCCCAAATGTTTTTAAATTGTGACATTAGTTTAATCTCAGTATAAATTAGTTTAATAGTATCTTTTCAGGAAGGAATAATTTATTCTACAATTCTGCCTTAATCCAGGAATGTTAGTAGTACTAGAATATTGATCTGTATTTTAGTGTTGACGATTAAAAATTAGTAGCATTCCTACTTTATATGGTGCATGCTATCCTTAGCAAGGATATAACCAAACATTAGCATGAGAAACTTGAAATAGTCTCTTTCTGTTTCTGATATGGTGCAGACCAAGAACAGGTCTCCTACTTCCCTAGTAGGAAGCATTCCCAGAAAATTTTGTTGCAACTAATGGCTTCTTCCTTATGGTCTGTTTTAGGATTCGTCAGCTTTCCTGGAAATGGTAAAAAATATGCGAGATAGGTAAAGGTATGACAGACAATATGTGCATGTTAGCACCTGTGTGTGCTTGTGTTGCCAGGGAAACAGAGCTCAGAAAAATAAATACAGGCCATAGAGCTGTTCATACTTTACTCCTTTCTAAGGAAATTCGAAATTATAATTAAAAAAGACAAAAAGAAAACTGTAAAAATCCTCTACCCACGACACTGCTTGAGCGTTTCCTTCTCCTATTTCAAACAAAAAGAATTTAGTTAGAAAAAGAAGCTGTAGTTCGCAGAGGACAAGGTTGGCAGAGATTATATAAATTTTCCCGAGGAAGGTGTCTATGCAGGAAAATGCAAATAACCAAAACATTAAAAAGGAATACTTGAAGCGTCCAAAGCAAAAGCAGAACCCGGGATGAGCGGCCAGAGAGCAGTAGAGAGGCGGGGCAGGAGCGCCGGGCGAGGCCCCGCATTGGTAGGATTTTGCCGCAGACCCGCGGGCAGCGGGGAAGGAAGGGGAAGGGGGTGCCGGAAGAAGGTGCCGCAGTCCCCGCTCCTGTTACCAGCGGAGACGCCGAGCTCCTGGGGAACTGACACCGCGCAGGGGGACAGGGCCGGGGCGGGGCTGGACGGGACAGCGGGGTTGGGCTCGGAACCGCTTGGGAGAGGCGGAGCCACCGAGCGCGTCCGGGGGACCCCGGCCGGGAGAGCGCCTCGGGTCTCGCGGGAAGCCCGTGCGGGGCAGAGCGGGGGAGGGGAGGAGGGGGCGGTGGGCGGGGACTGGGCGCGAGACCCCGCCTCCCTACGCAGTCCTCAACCAGGTCGGCTCCCGGAGAATAAAGGGCTCGCGGGGAGCGGGTGGTGCTGTGCCTAACTGAATTCAGAAAGGTGCAATCATGTCCGGTCGGGGCAAAGGCGGCAAGGGGCTCGGCAAGGGAGGCGCTAAGCGCCACCGCAAGGTGCTGCGCGACAACATCCAGGGCATCACCAAGCCGGCCATCCGCCGCCTGGCTCGGCGCGGCGGCGTCAAGCGCATCTCGGGGCTCATCTACGAGGAGACGCGCGGTGTGCTCAAGGTGTTCCTGGAGAACGTGATCCGCGACGCTGTCACCTACACGGAGCACGCCAAGAGGAAGACCGTCACGGCCATGGACGTGGTCTATGCCCTCAAGCGCCAGGGTCGCACTCTCTACGGCTTTGGTGGCTAAATCAAAGTCATTTGAATTTATTTAGTTCTAAACACAAAGGCTCTTTTCAGAGCCACGCATAAATTTCACAAACAGAGCTTGTTATCGCTGACGTTAGTAGTCAGGAGGATAAAGTAGCCTTAAATTCTGGTTAGTTTTAGTATCTGTATTGCATAATCTACGTGAAAAACAAAAACCCGGTATCATAACAGCAATCACAGCTCTATTAGGAACGTGTGGTGGCTCTTAAAAGAGCCGTTTGGTTTATAATTTAAAATCCTTCTACTTGGAGCTGGTGTACTTGGTGACAGCCTTGGTGCCCTCGGACACGGCGTGCTTGGCCAGCTCGCCGGGCAGCAGCAGCCGCACGGCCGTCTGGATCTCCCGCGACGTGATGGTGGAGCGCTTGTTGTAGTGCGCCAGGCGCGACGCCTCGCCGGCGATGCGCTCGAAGATGTCGTTGACGAAGGAGTTCATGATGCTCATGGCCTTGGACGAGATGCCCGTGTCGGGGTGCACCTGCTTCAGCACCTTGTACACGTAGATGGAGTAACTCTCCTTCCTCGCTCTTTTGCGTTTCTTGTCGCCTTTCTTTTGAGTCTTAGTCACCGCCTTTTTAGAACCTTTTTTCGGTGCTGGAGCAGATTTCGCCGGCTCAGGCATCCTTACTGCTTTCTTTCCAAGATCGTCCCTGTAGCGCAACATCGAAAATGGCGCCTGTCCCCCCTATTTATAACGGCGGTATGCAAATTAGAGGATTGTAATTGTTCCATTCCGATTGGAGTAAAAAGTACCAACGTAATTTCAGGCACTTCCGTCCTGTAACCGCCAGAGCTCAGGCGCTGCATTTACAATCCCAGTTACAGTTGGGGTCTTGGATCTAAGAGAAAAATTAATTAGGCGATACAAAGTACACGGACCGGGTACGTACTAATACACTTACCGTCACTAATCGCAACCGTTTTGACTATTTTTCACCAAGTTCCCACCCCCTTCAACCCTCTTACTACCGCTGCAAATTTTATTGAGATTATGAAAACCGCAGCAGCACGCGAACACCAACATCAGTAACAAACAGCTCTTATTGTGAGTTTTGTGGGTGGCTCTGAAAAGAGCCTTTGTGTTTAAGATCGTACAGGAACTTGAACAATCAAAGTTTAACCGCCGAAGCCGTAGAGAGTGCGACCCTGGCGTTTGAGGGCATAGACCACGTCCATGGCCGTGACAGTCTTCCTCTTAGCGTGCTCCGTGTAGGTGACAGCGTCGCGGATCACGTTCTCCAGGAACACCTTGAGCACACCGCGCGTCTCCTCGTAGATGAGCCCCGAGATGCGCTTGACGCCGCCGCGCCGAGCCAGGCGGCGGATGGCCGGCTTGGTGATGCCCTGGATGTTGTCGCGCAGCACCTTGCGGTGGCGCTTAGCGCCTCCCTTGCCGAGCCCCTTGCCGCCTTTGCCCCGACCAGACATGACTACAGCCCTACGAACCTGCAACAACACGAAACGAAAATGGCCCCGCGCGTGTGTATATTGCCGTCGGTCCGACCTGGTTGAGGACTGCGCCGGGGCGGGTTCTTTGCGCGCCCTTCCCCCCGCGGGCCGGGACTTTCGCGCCATCTCTCCCGCCGAGCGGACTCGGGCCGGCCCCGCCCCCGGGAGGCCAAACCCGGGGGTCCCGGCCGGGGTCACCCCGTGCCCGCCGCGCTCGGCCCGGCTGCCCGGCCCCGCCCGCGGGGCTCTACCAGCAAAGGGCTCGGCCACGAAGGGGAGAGAGTGGGCGCCGCGTCCCGCTTCTATAGTAAATGCACCCTTTTCTACCGAGAGCTCAGAAACAGGAGTAATGTGCTGCGATGTTTCTTTTTTTGGTTTATTCCCTGTGAGGGCGACATTTTAAATTTTTGCCATGGAGGAATTCTTTGGTGTGTCCCATGTCCTTCACTTAATTATCCTGCAGCTTTGTTTTTTTTATGGGACTGATGTGTTGATGAAGAAGCTGATTTGTGTCTCTTGCTGCTGTACCTGTCACAAAAACCTATACCACTTCATGTACTTTTAAAAAGTGGCATGTGTTTGGTCATTTTCATGGTCTCACTGATGGTCTTACTGACAGCTGTTGAACAATTCCTTTTTCCTTATTTTTCCTTCACTTAATATTACTTTTAGAACACAAACCAATATTTTTCATTTACTGTAGTTTTACATCTGCATTCATTTTAATGAGCCCCATCACCTTCAGTAGTTTCAAGTGTCCATATGTTCGGGTTTTTTTTTGAAAATGCATAGTTGGCTTCCTCCCCTTTTTTATTCTTTTCTTTCACCTTGGTCTTTTTTACTACACTTATTTTTTGCTGTTGACGTGTGACACATATATTTAATGTTTCTCCGGGGAGTTATAGGGTCTTCAGATTATAACAACACTCAACAATTTGCAAAACTAAAAAACTTAGAGCTACAGCTGACAAAGCATGGAGCAAATCACACAATTATGCTTCAAATTTCAGTCTCAACAACTAAAAGATCTACAATAGCTACCTGCAGCCTTGCAACCCAGCTTCTCAAATGTGATTCTAAAGTTTGCTTTAAAAATTTTCCCAAATAATCCCAACAACACAACAGATGTGTCTCATCATCAGTAAATTTGCAATTTTTTCCTATTGTTATGTGCTTTCTCCTCTTGATGGCCAAGTTGTTATTTGCCTTTTCCTGGGACTTGGTTCTTTTTTCTGTGTTCCCCATGGAAATTATACCACACTAAAATGAAGTTATGTTCAAAAACTAATTTAAATCTCCAACATATATCCCTGTTCTGGATGGGAGGCAGCAGGTTTGTGGAGAGAGGGCAGATATTAAAACAGAGCAGCAGGATAACTGAGGTAGCATTAAGCTGCTCTTTTCAACACTGCTTTGCCTCCACAGTTTACGAGAAATGTACAGCAGATGCACTTTCAAGCAAGCCTCTCTCACTGGGAAAGAAAAATATCTGACCCTTTTGTTGCTTCCCTTCAGACACCATTATTTTGCATACATCTATGTTTCTGCTCAGCACGGTAAAAAGGAAAAAAGACCAGAAGCATGATCAGCTCTTTTTTCAGTTGTGCCTGATAGGTGGCATGGGCCTATATAAGAAACCTTTCTCTTCTGACACCAGGTAAGTCCAGTCTTTGAATAGTCCTTAACGTTTCCAAAAGGAAATAGCATAATGTTTTCTTCTTGCATAATGAAGTGATACTAACAGAAAACAGCTTGATTTTCTGGTTCATGATAATTTCAAACTGCAGAATAAAATCCACATTTCAGTTTTAGGGTTATCATGGTTTTGACTTAAATACATACTTCCAATACTTATTGCATCTTTGGAGAAATCCAATAATTTCATGTTACAAATTAAATCACAGCTTCCATCTCATTCAAATTGATGAAAAAGAAGCCATGCTCTATGGGCTAAAATGATTAATTCTAAACATGATTAACAGTGTTTGTATTCCAGAGTCTCTATATCTTTCGATGTTGCATCTTTTTCCCTTTTACATTTATCTTGTGGTTTTTACAAATGCAGACTGTTCTATGAAGCATGTAGATATGCCCTTTACTGTATCAAAAAAAAAAAAAAAAAGGGAGAAAAATAAGCGGAACGACTTACGAGTTGTTTGTTTCTGGTTTTGTTATTTGTTTTTTTTCCCCTTAGAAATGCGCATAAGTACATTTTACTGTTCCAAACCCGCCCGGAGGACACACGAGCCGGGGACTTGGGGCTGACTCCGGCCTGGGGAGAGGCCGCGCCGCAGCGGAGGCGCTTCAGCACCGACCCCTGGGATTGAAAAGGCTCATTTTGATTGGTTGATAGAAATCGAACCGTCGACCAATCCGATCGTGGTGTTTAAAAAGGACCAATAGGTAAGCACTCCGTACAGCGGATGACGTTACTGCGGCTGTTGTCCAATGGGAGCGCTGATTTCTGATACCAGAGATTTGCATAAGAGCCCTATAAATAGGGGAGTAATCGCATTATCCGTCACTCCGTTGTGTCACACCAGACAGCGACGTGCAGCCATGCCTGAGCCGGCCAAATCCGCCCCCGCGCCCAAGAAGGGCTCCAAGAAGGCGGTGACCAAGACGCAGAAGAAAGGCGACAAGAAGCGCAAGAAGAGCCGTAAGGAGAGCTACTCCATCTACGTATACAAGGTGCTGAAGCAGGTGCACCCCGACACGGGCATCTCGTCCAAGGCCATGGGCATCATGAACTCCTTCGTCAACGACATCTTCGAGCGCATCGCCGGCGAGGCGTCGCGCCTGGCGCACTACAACAAGCGCTCCACCATCACGTCGCGGGAGATCCAGACGGCCGTGCGGCTGCTGCTGCCCGGCGAGCTGGCCAAGCACGCCGTGTCCGAGGGCACCAAGGCTGTCACCAAGTACACCAGCTCCAAGTAGGGCGTCTCGGACCGTCACTCTCAACCCAAAGGCTCTTTTAAGAGCCACCAAATATTTCAAGTAAAAGGGCTGAATCAATGCTTTTTATGGGGAGGTATGTAAATAGCTTAATATATCCGCGTTTATTACTCCATTGAGTACTTTTCTCTCTCAAGTAGTTTACCTTGTAGATATGTGTGGCATATAAACTCGCTTGTGCAAAGCCTTAAATCCGGTTCCGTCTTAAAAGGGACTTGAAAGCAGCACCAACTTGTCCCATTGTAAGTCCCGTGGGGAAGGGGAAACTATTTAAATTTTCTACGGAATAAATGCGTTTTGCTTGGAAGACCTAATATATACTTACTTACAGTGCATTACAACAGTAAAATAAAGTTTTTTTCTGTCTGGGCTTAATTTTTGAGGCAGGTTTGTATGTTTTGGGTTTTATTATATTACTCGCGTGTACCCTAACCTGCCATTTCTCCTGTTTAATGGTGGCTGATTTTATTCAAGTGTTCGTACTCGATTAGGTAATAGAAAAATATTTTCTTAACGAAAGGTTTGCGGGGTTAAAACACCAGTATCCCAGAGTTTTGCAGGACATGGTTCTTGCTTAAAAAAGGAAAAAAAAAAAAAAAAAAGCCGAGAAATGGGGGCGATCAGTGATTTACACAGCAATGTTTACTGGGAGCCAGGAAGAATCGCATCGCGGGGCCGCAGCCCTTCTTACCCCGCTGTGGGAGCAGAGCTCCGCAGCAGCTGCCGCCGGGCACGGCCCGCACGTTTCCCCATCCCTGCTCCATTTCCTCCCCGCCCGCCCCAGCCCCCCCCGGCTCTCCGGCCGTGCGGCGGGGAGGGAGGGCCGATGCGGTGCCGCGCGTCCCCGCCCGGGCAGCGCTCGCTCCCGGCGTGGGGCCGGCCCCGCTCCCGGCCGCCGAGGATGCGGGGGGGTGAGCGCCCTGGAGGGCGGGGCCTGGCGGGAAAGTGGCGGGGCGGTGCGGGGCCAATCCCGGCCCAACGCGGCACTTTTAAACTCCCCCGGGCACCGGAGCGAAGGGCGCTCGCCGCTCCGCCGACACCGCCTCTTTGCCCAGGGCTGCGCCGGTCAATGAACCGGGGGCGGGGCGGGCGCAGCTGTTATCGCAGGGCTCCCAAATGGCACGTAGGGACACATTCCCTTTTTAGGGAAGCCCCTATCTCCCACACAGGCGTTACCGAACGCGCACGTACCCATAATCTGAACTTTATTAGTGCCAAAACTACCGAAATCTGTTAGTGATTTGTGTCTGCTGGTGCACGACCGTAGTGTTTCAGCTCTTTTTGAGAATAAGTGGGTGGCTCTTAAAAGAGCCTTTGGGTTTATTTAAATGAGTAGACTCTGAATTCTTCTCCAGACACCTTACTTCTTTTTAGGTGCCGCCTTCTTTGCCTTGGCCGCTTTGGGTTTGGCTGCCTTAGGCTTGGCTGCTTTGGGCTTCACCGCTTTTGCTTTAGCCGGGCTCTTCGCTGCCTTTTTGGGGCGGCCTGCCTTTGCGGCTTTTTTGGGGCTCTTCGCTGCTTTCTTGGCCGCTGCGGCCGCCGGCTTCTTCGCCTTCTTGGGGCTCTTCTTCACCGCTGCCGCCTTCTTGGGCTTCTTGGCAGCGCTGGCCGGCTTCTTAGCCGCCGGCTTCTTGGGCTTAGCTGCCGGCTTCTTCTTCGTTGCCTTTTCTTTCGTCTCACCGGGCTTCTTGTTTAGCTTGAAAGAGCCGGAGGCGCCGGTGCCCTTGGTCTGCACCAGGGTGCCCTTGCTGACGAGGCTCTTGAGCCCCAGCTTGATGCGGCTGTTGTTCTTCTCCACATCGTAGCCGCCGGCGGCCAGCGCCTTCTTGAGCGCGGCGAGGGAGAGCCCCTTGCGCTCCTTGGAGGCGGACACGGCCTTGGTGATGAGCTCGGTGACGCTGGGCCCCGCGGGCTTGCGGGCTTTGGAGCCGCTCGCCGCCTTCTTCGGCTTCTTGGCGGCGGCCTTGGCGGCGGGAGCAGACACAGCGGGAGCGGCAACAGGCGCGGTCTCCGACATTGTGCCAACCTTCGTCCAGGAACCAGGGAAACCACTGGGCCTGGAGCAAGTCGGCGGCCTCGTATTTATAGAGCGGAGCCGCGCGGTGATTGGTGCGTTGCAGAGCCCGCCCCGCTGCACGGCAGAAAGGTCCCTTCTCGCCGCTCATTTTGTGTTTCTTAGGAGCCAAAAACGGCTGTTTTTATCAGAATTTCCGCCACCGACCCCCCCCCAGTTCGCAGCGCCGTGAAAAAGAAAGACTCTTGTTCCGCTCGGCCAAGTTTCTTTTCGAAGAGGCAAAGGGTGAGCTTAAAAATAGGCGATAAACACTGAGTCCTGGACCTGAACAGACCTCAGGAGACAGAAACTTTTGTTTTTCCTTCTAAATAAAATCCGCGATGTGGGGAACTAGATTCCCAAAGTAATTAATTAGTATTCTTTAAAGGGTCTTCTGTTAATCTGAACTGAAAATCAGGAATTTAAATCGATATTTTAGTCGCAATTTGATTTCAAAGAGAAGGAAGTAACACAGGCTCATCTTGAGCACTGAATATGGATTAGAAATTAGCTCCTTTGTCCAAAATCCTTTACCTCTTTCAAAATAATTAAGAGAAATTAAATTAGTGCATTATGCAGCAAGGCAAGGAGCAGATGAAAGTCCTGTGAAGGGCTTTTTGTCCCACCGAAGGAGGTGACTTTTTACAGCATAGCAGTTCGTGCTGTGTTGCTCAGTGTACACAATGCAGACATGGTTCCCTGGTGTCCTGCTACAAAAATACTTGCTTTCTTAACAAATTAGGTAACATGAAAACTTAACACGGCCAGTTTTTGTTAATAATGATAATCAGTGCCTTATCGTTTGATAATATGTCAGTGGTTTTATTTTGATATAGCTGGATTGGTGAAAATCTGAGTCATTGTCTAAGGAGATACTGCTGCAGCTGATTTTCCCACTACTCGAACATAATAAAACTTGTTCAAGTGATCAGTTAGGATTCCTCTTTCACAGCAGTTTCCTAAATATTCCATTTTCTTACTGTCCAGTGACTGATCCCTGCATTGGAATAAATAGAAAAAAAATTGCATGTCTTAATATTATCTGCTACACAGGAACAGCTGGCTGCTAAGCAAGAGAGGGGCAGTCTCCTGATGCACTTTTCCAAGAACAAGTTTCAATTAAAAATAAATACACATTGTTTTTCAGAGTACAAAAAAATCGAAAGAAGTATTCTCTGTTATGTTTATTAATGCCTACAATTGATTATTTTGACAAAGGCCTGTAAAGTCCTTTCTATCTCTTGCTATTGTAACTGTTGGTGATACTAAAATTCTGGACAATGTTATGATTCAAGTAATTTGTTTTCAAATGGACAATTAATAAATTATGTTTTTTTGACCAATAATAAATTTTCTGGTTTTATTTCAATATATTTATGGTTTATATTTAGCACTATGTATAAGATAAAATCAAAACTGGCAACAGTCCTTTTCACCTCAGTTTGCCTGTGCATTGTGATGAACAATTAATCTCAAACTCTCTCAGATATGAGGCAGAAAACAGGCTCTGCAGCTCAATTAAATTTCTTATTAAAAATAAGAAAGGATTAGTAACTCAGAATGTCTTTTAATACAAAAAAACAAAATTAAACAACAAAACAAAAACCTTCCAACAGTATGCCTAGGTCGAAAAGTGGTTTAGAAGGGGCAGAGCTGTTTTTTAAAGACATCAGTGAATTATCTCAACTTCACACAGGGCCGAGCTGGAAAAGGAGAGGCATGATGGGGCTGTGGGCTCTTTCCTACAGTCTAAATGAACTTGGTGTCTTTCTCATCCCCCCCCCCCCGCCCAAGTGACTTCACATTAAATACAGTAATAAATTTAGCAGGCATGTGTCAGCCACGTTTCACTATATAGTGCGTTTTTCGAAATTTTAATCCTAATGTAAGAGCTAAAATACAAAGTGTTTGGGGTGCCTTGCTAGTGGATTTTTTAAGAGCTAAAATAAACAGCGTTTGGGGTGCTTCGGGGGGTTGTTTGCTTTAGTTGCTCCTCTGGATTTTTTGAGGAGACGAGATTTTAAAGCTTTTTTTATCACTAGGATGTACAGCTCCTTTTATGAGGAAGTGGGTGGCTCTGAAAAGAGCCTTTGGGTTACTTTTGAGGTGGAAACGCTCCTCGGATGCTTCACTTGCTTTTTGCCTTGTGGCTGTCGGTCTTCTTGGGCAGCAGCACGGCCTGGATGTTGGGCAGCACGCCGCCCTGCGCGATCGTCACCTTGCCCAGCAGCTTGTTGAGCTCCTCGTCGTTGCGGATGGCGAGCTGCAGGTGGCGGGGGATGATGCGCGTCTTCTTGTTGTCGCGGGCCGCGTTGCCCGCCAGCTCCAGGATCTCGGCCGTCAGGTACTCGAGCACGGCCGCCAGGTACACCGGGGCGCCGGCGCCCACGCGCTCCGCGTAGTTGCCCTTGCGCAGCAGGCGGTGCACGCGGCCCACGGGGAACTGCAGCCCGGCCCGCGACGAGCGCGACTTGGCCTTGGCGCGCGCCTTCCCGCCCTGCTTCCCGCGGCCGGACATCTTCCCTCGCTCGCTCCGCTGCGCCGCCGCCCCAACTGACGCGGTCACGTGCTCCTGCGCCCCGCGCGCGGCCGCTTTTATAGCTCCGGCGCTCGCCCCACTGGCTCTCTGATTGGCTGAAGCGCGTTCTGGCTCGCTCCGACCAATGGCGTGGCGGATCCAAATGTGACCAATGGGAGCCGCCGGCGGCCGCTCCCGTGGAGCCGCCCCCGCTGACGAGCCCGGCCCCGGCCCCGGCCCCGGCCCCGCTCCGTACGCAAGGACAGCGCCGGGGAAACGCCTCCCCGCCCGCCCCAGGAGAGCGCAGGAGCACAGCTGCCTCCCCGCAACGGGGGGAACCCCCGCGAAATGCCAGCGCTGCCGGTTTAGATATAATCCTGCATTTTAAACCTAAATGCTACTACAGGGCTACTTTAAAAATGAGTTATTGTTATGATGAAAGAGAATCTTCGCTTTCGCTAGGAGCATTTACACCCCAGCACTACTAATACGTGTAGAAACTAGACAGGGGCACGTAATACGAGACGTTTCTCTGATTCTAGAGACAAATCACTTCAGCATTGTTGTAATCAAACTCATATTGGTGTTTTCAAGCTGAATTATCTGTCTCCAGGCTGAATCTTCTCAACTGCTGTAAACATAACTGATGTTGCCAGATAACTTCTACAAGTTGCCTAATAAAGAAAGAACTTTAGTGTTTCAAGGATTGTGTAAAATTACATCACACAATATGCATCAGGTGGGCGGGGTTATATAAATTTTACTGTCTAGAGAAATGCTGTGCAAACCTTTTGATTGTATCCAGAATTTGTGAAAACAGATTCAAAGTTTTCAAGTGTAAATTCCATTAGCCAGTAACTTTGTATCCTTAAAGCAGATTTAACCTCAAAACATGGTGCATTCAGCTATGCCTGAAACTTAAACTAAATATATTGTTTGAGGTACCTGCTAGTCTGATACCTTAATATTATTAGCCAAAAGTACAGTTATCAGTCAGTCTTTTAACATTAGAATTGTTTACTAATTTTTACTTAAAGTAGCCTGTGAAGCAAACCTTCCAATCAGAGTATATAAAATAAATTATCTTGCAATTATTAGCAGTATTTGAGGACTTACGTTTTTACTAGCTACCAATAAGGGTTAAAAGGGATGTTTAAGAACTTAAAAACAAGAATATAGCAGAAGTTCAGTGGGAAAAAGTAAGTATATGTTATCTACCATGTGATTATTGCTTTTCTTTTCTGAGGTTCTGAATGCCTCTATCATCTTCCAAGGTGAGCAAAGAACCCTCCCCCCTCTCCACCTGCCCACTAGTTTTACACAAACCACAGGAAAAGCAGTATTTTGATACACTGAACATTTATTGTCTTCCACAAGACAAAATGAAGTTTCCCCAGCCAACAAAAATCCATCAAGATGACCATAAAGGGGAGAGGGTGCAAAATTCCAGTGTACAGTATATGCAACAAATTACCTCCCTGACTACCCTGGAAGAAAGATGACTGATCAACCTCACTGCAACTAAAAAACATGATTATAAAATATTTACAGAAAAAAAAAAAGTACAGAAAATAAAAACTGGACAACCATTTGTGTATGAAATGCTGCTAACACTTTTCTGGCTCCTTAAAAACCTGTTCCACTACCCTCGCCAGAGCACTCAGGGTGTGTAAGGATTCAGGCAGGGAATAGTCACCCCTGACCCCAGAGTACCATCATCTCCCTCCAAAGAAAGGGGAGGACTTGAGGGGAGCAGCATCGCCTTCTTTACTGCAATTTCCTTTCACTAAGTGCACACGGTGGCTCTGAAAGGAGGTCCCCAGGCACACCTCGGCTGCAGCGGTCTCTATTCACAGCACACTGGCAAGTTAACCTGTGGGTAGGGAACTATTTCCAGTCATGCCCTTTCATTGCTTGCAGGAGGACTTTCCCTTCTTCTCTCTCCACAGTGATCTGATTCGTGGTCAGAGGGGCAGGAAAGCTGTCTAGGACTACGACAGGTCACAGGAGACCTTCCATTTCTTTCATGAAGGCTTCATACACATCATCCTTTGTCTGTACAGAGACAGGGGCAGATGATCCAGCCTTAGGGGCAGCTTTGGTTAACGGGAGTGCAGGCTCATCATCTTGTTTTCTCTGGGAGGCAGCGGAAGCCCCTTTATTCTCGCGGCGCACTCGCAAGGCAGTGGGCACGAAGCGCGTGATCTCCGCCTTGGGGTTGGTGATCTGCGGCTTGGCACTGATGGTGGCCGTGGCTTTCTTCTCTATGGTGGCCGCACTGGTGTCATCCGCCTTGGGCCGCTGAATCAAGCTCGGGGGGGCGCTCAGTACCCCAGGATTTGGAATGGGAGCTGGTGGGAAGAGCCCAGGTGGGGCAGGTCCTAAGGGAGGCACCAGAGGTGGCCGTAACATGCCTGGGCGAGGAGGAGGGATACCTGTAAGAAGAAAAGAAAGCATGAGCTGTCTCCACATCTGGGAATTTCAAAATATTTGAGCAAAAAAGTGCAGAATTGTTCTTGGCTCAGAATGCCAAGAACAAAAAGCAAAACAAAACAACCCCCAACAAGATGCAGTAGCACTGGCTTTAAAAAAAAAAAAAAAAGTTTTCAAATTGGCACTAAATGCTGGGTTGAAAATGCTGCTCTTCAGACTCTGAAAGCCACAGGAGCTTGTTTATTGCTCCCTTTTAAATTTAAAGTTATAATCTGAGAATAAAGTTTCTAGACAATCCTTCGCACTGGAATTTCAGTCATCAGAAATGTCTGACCCAGGCACAAAAAAATAAATATTCAGATCTCCAACTCATTTAGTGAAACACCACTACAGCACCCAGAGGCTGTTCAGAAAGAGTCCAGCAGAGCAAAAGTTTAAACTCTGAAATTCCCTTTTTGAGGGCAGATTTCTTGCTACCAAACTATGCAAAGGACTTGTTATTGCACAGACTAATGGAATAGAACATAGCACAATGAAGCCACAGACAGGAACAAAGGCAAAGTGGCAGCCAATTATACCTCACTGGCTTGATCACCACAGCCAAGACTGTGAAAAGAAAGCAAGAAGAGACTCTGCACTGAAACAAAGAGAAGCCCTTACCTGGTGGGGCAGGAGGAGGCAGACGAGGAGGAGGACCACGTGGAGGAGGGCCTGGGGGCAGACCTGGTGGGGGGCCTGGGGGAGGACCTGGTGGTCGCCCCGGGGGAGGACCTGGTGGCAGCAGTCGTGGCAAAGGCCCACGCAGCCCTGGTAACCCGGGAGGTCTCAAGAACGGAGGAGCTCCTGAAAGCATTCATGTAACAAAAGAGAAATTGAATGCACAGTTAAAAATATATCCCAGCAATGATGTCAACAGCTAAGAATAAAAGATCTTCGACATATGAATGAAAGCTGTATTACCTAGGTGCCAGATTAAACAGAACTTATAAAAATCTCCAGCAGAGGCAGATTTATACAGTTAAAGCATCTTTATGAAAGTCAAGTGTATCATGGAAAAAGGGCTCCTCCCCATATAATTAAGTAGTAACTGTAACAGCTTCTGAGCTGAGTTTGTCAAGAGTTTGAAGAGCTAAAAACCTTTCTCTATGGCATTTGATTTTTCTTCTGGCCTAAAAATAAGTACCTTTGCTCTTTTACTCCACTTCATACACTGGCTCTGTTGCTGTCTCCAGTGGTGGCTCTAACAAAGACAACCATCAGGAAGGCTGCAGCTACAGGAGCCTGATGCCTCAAAGTACAGCACTGATGATGTAGGCTGACGACAGCCAGATCTCAGTAACTGGGTACATATACTCCATCTGCAACACATTCTGCAGCTTCCAAACTCCCAAACTGATAGCACTGCCTGAGAGCCTGCATCCCTCAAAGCAGAGTAAATCAAATATTCACCTGGGGGAGGGCCAGGAGGAAGGCCGGTGGGTGGGCCTGGAGGCCTCAGTGGAGGGGCTGGAGGTGGTCCCAGCGGAGGAGGCCCAGGCATGGGAGGTGCCTGGATCTGAGTTGGAGGCACAGCCTGTGAACTCTGCTGCTGCTGCTGTGCCTGGGAAGTTGCAGTAGATGATCCAGTCTCTGCAAGTGCTTCCTCACTGAGTTGTTGTTGCTGCTGTTGCTGTGATGTGTCTTCGGACTCTGAGTCCTCTTCCTCCTCTTCCTCTTCTTCTGAATATTCCTCCACTTCTCTCCCTTCTTCTGGGATTTCCTGACCTGGATATGGAGATACACTTATAAAATCTGTCTACGCATAACATCTGTGTGAACATCAGAGAAAACTAAGTACAAAGAACAAAATAAAAAGAAGCAAGACAAAGAGAAACCTTACTTGGAAGAGGAGAAATCTGACCACTTTTTACCGTTAAACAAAATATGAAAACAAATAAAAATCGTAATAGAAAAATCATTGCTGTTCTACAGAGAGCTCGGACAACAAGAGCTTTGTGTTCCTCGGGGACCTGAAACTTGCACTACCAACCCAAACTGCTGCTATTTAATCTCTGCCTTAAGGGAGTTTGTGGGGAGGTTGGAACACAGAAGGAACACAATGCTGCAATAAGCATAATCCCCAAGTCCAAGAAACTCCTGCACCTTTGAAAGATACTGGAGTTTCTTCTTAAACAAAGTTTGTTTTATTGGTTAACTTATCTCAGCAGAAGGGTATTTTCAGGGAGTACAAATCCTTACAAGTTACACGCTGAGCATATAGACAATGTTACCCTTTCTCTTTCATCAAGAGATTCATATTTCATTTGAACAACTGTTTAAAAAGTAAGCAAGAAAAGGCTTAGAAGGAAAAAAACAATAAATTGCTACTCTTAACTTCAACTCTGCTATGCAAAACACACACATTACTTAAACAAAAATAAATATTAAGAACCTACAAAGCAAAAAAAAAAGAAAAACAACCCCAAACAAAAGGGAAAAAAGCAACCAAACTATAACTCAAATACCTAACGAGAGCTGATACTCTCAGCAGAGCCCACATTATGACAGTAAAATATTTACTCTGTATAATAAAAACTGTGCAAAGTAAGCTGCCCACAAAGACCTTAACTGCAAGCATAATGGCATATCATCACATATGATATCCACCTTACTTACCTGCCATTCGTAACATCATGGCCTGGAGTGGAGTCAGCTCTTTCATGTTCTTTTTCTTCTTTCGTGACTTCCCAGGCATGTCTGCAAACCGGACACTGTGACCTGGGGAAAGTAGGGTATGGATAAAGGCGACAGGAGGTGAGAAGAAAATAAGAAAAATCAGATAGCTACATTGATACCTGGTATAGATAGCATATCAGTCTAAAATAATGATACTCCTTAGATAACAATTAACGTTGGTGTTTGTCTTGCAATACAGGATGTAACCAAAAGTATGTATTGTATCACCATCTGTTGAAGTCAGCTGGGACAGTGATCCCTATCTCTGGGGGGAATATCTTCTGTTAATCGACCATCTGTTAAAATCAGGTGGGGCAGTCATCTTTATCATTTCCATGATCTATCCTTCCTCCAGGGAGGTACCTTCTGTTAATGGGCCATTGAGTCCCATTGCATGACTGATAAAATTACATCATCCCATTGTCCATTGAGAGGCTCCACACAGGGAAAGGAGCCAAGCATGTCCTACCTGGATGAAATCTGAAATTTGGAACATCAGAGCAGCCTTTTTCCACTGGATTCCAGGGGAAAAAACAGACCTTTCCACATCATCACTGGACCTTCGGAGGAAACCTGCACCCTTTTACAGGAGCACTGTTTCAACTGAACCTCATCTGTCATCCAGGAGGACTGCAGCCACCATTTAATGGGACTGCTACCAACACCCTGACTGATGGGGTGTCGGGTTGTATTCTGACTCTGTCAGCGTTTTGGTTTTTGGTTTTACTGTATTTTTATTTTAATTTTCCTAGTAAAGAACTGTTATTCCTATTTCCATATCTTTGCCTGAGAGCTCCTTAATTTCAAAATTATAATAATTTCGAAGGAGGGGGTTTACATTGTCCGTTTCAAGACAGACTTCTGCTTCCTTAGCAGACACCTGTTTTCCAAACCCAGACAGTGTTTCTGATTGTTTGAAGTTTTGCTAACTTAGTATTCTCTACCAATAGGTCTCCCCCAGGCACGTGAGCATGTTTCACATTGAGGCTTAACTTTGTAGGGCATCTTACTAATGCAATGATTCAGGTGAAAAATGCTTGTGAGCTATAAGCAAATAAAACTTTTAAGAAAAAATGTTTATCTGAAAGTTGCTTCACTTCTAGATAGCCTCCTTCTGAGCCATTTATTAATAAAAATCCTTTTAGCTGGAATTTAGGTGAGTTAGAACATAATTGAATAAATAAATTAGACACGCATCCTCAACGTTATCAAGCAGTGTTTTTCTTTTGAAAAATCAACCCCTAGACTCTCATTTCCCCTTCATACCTGATTTCTTTTCTTCTCCACCTTCCCTCTCCTTGTCATTATCACGATGCAGGAAGTCCTCTCCTTCACTGTCTGCATCTGACCTATCACTGTCACTGTCATCGCTGCTCTCGTCGTGCTTATCTTGATCCATATCTTCAGGATAACCTTCATCTTCGCTAGTGCTGGACATGTCATCATCATGGCCTCGCTGTCCTGCAGAAAGCAAAGTATTAGGAAATGCATGACCTCCAAATACAAAATATTCTTTCACACCAGTGTATATTTACAGTCATACTATTCCCCTTAGCAACAGCATGGACAAACTGTCATCCTTTTACTTTATGACACATATTCTTAAAGGATATTCTGGAAAAATCTGTAAAATTTCCTATTAACCTGCTGATCAATTTGCACAGCAAAAAAGTGAAGGCAACTGCTACTGCAACTCATTCATTAATTTCTATTCAGCAATTGCCCACCACTGAAATATTTTGATGCCTTCTGGCAAGAAATAAAGCTAATCCACCTAGTCACAAGAGTTTCTTACAGTAACTGTATGAAAGAGAGGACCTATGTTCTAGCATATGCATACTCAGGGCTGGTTGCAGGTTTTGTTGCGGTTTAGGTTTGGGGGTGCTTATTTGATGGGTTTTTAAATAGAAGATTTCTCTAAGAGCGATTGGGTTTTTTGAAGGGATAACATGAACAATATTTCAGCACTGTTAAGGGTTCATCCAAAAAAACTAATCTGTCAAACCTAACAAAAAAAAGTATCTGAGACATGTAATTAAAGTTTCACCATTTAAAAATACAGCTGGTAGCAAAGTAGCAGATATTTTGAATACATCTGAATTACCTCAGAGGAACAATCACTTACTAAGAGTGCTTCAAGTAGTGCTAACATTCATATGGCCCAGAGAACACTTTGTCTAGGGCACACTGTATTCACAGCACTACCACCTATATAGGAAAACCCTAGAGAGGAATAGGAAAGTCCTTACCTGCTTCAGAACTGTAAGAAATCTCCTCCTCTCGCCTTCGAGGAGCCACGTCCAAGTTGAAACCCACTTTACGGCCATACATCTGCAGGACCTGAGGTGGGGGTGGCCCTGGTGGAGGTCCAGGGGGTTTCCTGCCTGGAGGTAAACGTGGAACACCAAGCCCAGGAGGAGGAAGCACAGAAATGGACCGAACTGGTGGTCTGGAAATAAGAAAGGAAATGAGAAATGTACGAATACAATTAAAGCAAACATGCCTTTAGTAGAATTATTTAGCCTTCTCTCACCACTGCTTATGTAGACTTCTAAAAAGAAACATGAACATTTAAAAAGCATAGATTTGACACAAAGAGTTTACAACCTCCTACAAAGATATGACTGCAGAAGATCAGACAAAAGCTCCTCAGAAAGCAACTGAAGACAATACTGAAAAAAATAGCTATTGAATCCTATCACAGAAGAAGAATGAAATAATCACAGAGCTGGTGAAAACAGAAGGCTATTCAGAAAGAAACAGAAAAAATCTAGCACTAGAATGAAAAAAAAAACAAAACAAAACCAAGTAAACTAGGAGTTTATATGAACTATTCATATACACTGAATATGCCAGCTGGACAAAAGAACACACATACAGCCATTTAAGGGGCATTTATATTCAAAACAGTAGGGCTCTAAGTTTTCCTGATATGAAAAAGACAAAAACTAGAAGGCATAATGTATCACTCAAAGAAATTTTAACAAAAAGCTGTAATAGTGGGGATAGATTAAAAAGGGTTTGGTTAAAAGAAAGCAAAGTTCACTTGCACAGAATTCCTGACATCTACGAGTCAATATTACCTCTTCTTCTACCCCTAGCTCCTCCCCCGTAATATGAGTGCTTCCTTTTTACTTTCCCTATAAGTTTCTTTTCCACTTACCCATATGCTGATGTCTTCTTGAGGATAGAAGGTGGTTGGGCCCCTGGAAGGGGAATGTCCTGTATGAGGATGTTGGAGGGAGCATGAGGCATATCTGGTAAGGGGATACTCTCTACTTCAACATGCTGAGCATTCTGAAAGGGAGGGGAAAAAAAAAAAGAGAATTGGTTACTCCCAGAGACCCACAGAAACTAGTGCACAAACTCATTACTTTCTAAAGTACAGAATGTATGGAACCTGCCACCACTTATCAAATGTGTCTGCTCTTAGAGTGTGTTATCTTGCAGCAGCCCATAACAGAAATCTGGGAAAGTGTCAACAGTAAAAGCTTTCAATGCAAACTAAAGCACTTGCAACACATCCATGAAAAGCCTTAGTATTTCAGTCACAACTCATTCAGGTTTCCATCTTCTTTTAGACCTTCACTCTACAAAATGAAGAGGCTGCAGACAAGTACGCCTGTGCTTTTAAGTATTCAAGTCACATACTGCCGCATGTTCCGAAGGAAAGAAAAAAAATGAAGTAGTCTTGCAGATCCCTGCATTTGCACAACACTGTGTTGTATAGTAGGGAGAAATATTTTTAAGATCTTTAAAGGAATGCCAAAGGATTCTCATTATTTCCAGCAAGAGATTTAGCAGAAATTCAAGAAGTATCAATTGCATAGTCACAGGCTTGCTCTCTCTTTAATACAGAAAACAAAAGGCTGATATTGTTGATTTGCAACACAAATTTCCCTTTCCTCCTTTCATGTCGAATGAGATCAGAGTATCAGAGACGAACAGTGACCTGACAACCACCACACTGTCCTTGCTGAAATGCTCTGATTTGAGGCACTATGCAAATTAATATTTCATATGGACCACGTGACGCTGAACTCATATAAATCTCCCTTCCTCTGTAACTGTCACACCTAAGAGAATGCACTACCACAGTAACAAGACTGAAATACAGTAAGCATTACCTTGACAGCATCAAAATACTGGCTGAGTTGTGCTCTCTTCTGCTCGTACTCCACTTCCAACTTGCGTAGTTCTTTATAGATGTCAGGATTTTCCTTCTCATAGAGCCGCAAGATGCGTTCAAAAGTCTCACGGAGCTTTTTGCGTTTATCCTTCAGCACTTTTTCATTAAGTTGTGGCTGCTGTACTGGATTAAACTCTGTTTCAAGACAGCAAAAAAATGACCCAAAAAATTGCAAATTACTCTACTGCACAACTATGATGAATGAAACTATTTCAAAGCAAGTTCCAATCCCTGTTTCAGGAATTCTTCAGCCTTATGACAATCCCTCCCCTTGAACTCTACATTAGCAGCACAAACACACACTACTCATTCTTCTCATCAATTATCTTCTGAGAAAAAAGTCCTCTTTGATGGCACCACAACACCTCAAATCATATCCCCAGATATTCCCAGAATCTCCCCTTGTAACAGGAAAGGAGAAAAGATTACTCTATTTCAGTCTCCCCCGCTGGCTGGTAAAACTACACTGTGCATCTGCATAAACCCCTGCCCAAGTCCAGCACCTGGTACCTCTCACTCACCCATCTCATCCAATTTTTCCATGTCCCGGATAATCTGCTTTGGATCTTTCATCTTCAGTACAGCTGCTCGTACCATCATCCGTTGCTTTTTGTTCTAAGATTAGAGATCAGCAGATAGAAAAGTTTCACAGTAGAAAGACACAAAACATCTGTTACCCCTTTCTCAGTATTTCCAGACTGAAGAAAAAAAGCACACCTCAGAATGCCCTGAAAATGTTCACCATGGCACAAATCAGCAGCAAATGTAGTTATAACTTCCGGTAATTTTAATTCCACTATCTTGGTAATTGCAAATGCTACTATCATTCCTTCACTCCAACTAAGGCACACAAAATCAACACAATAACTAACTGACAAAATACAGTAAAACACACTAAGAAGTGTGTGAGTCTTGGCTGCTTTATTTGTTTGGATTTTTTTTTTAATTTGGTTTGTTGCTTGCTTCTTTGCTTTATTGTTTTGGGATTTTTTTATTATTAAGTACTTCCAGCAATGTTTCAAAAATAATTACAAGTTAAAAAACAACTGAGGATATGTTTACTCCAAACGAGACTTCTATGTTTTTTTAAACTACATGCTCGGATAGTATTTCCAAAGTCAGTCTTAAGATATCAACCAAAATATCCAGTCTATTCATGGCCCTTTACAATCACACACATGATACATTGTATAGGAAATGCCAATTAAATATTCCCTAGTATCCTTATTTACCTTCTTTAGTTCCCTTTTCCGAGCTTCCTTCCCTAGAGGGGAAAAGAAAAACAAAACAACAGCTTGAAAAACAAAATCAAATTAACAAAGAACCTTTTCTTCATTAAGACTACGGCTGTTTCTCAACAGCTCACTCATTTTACACACTTACTGTAACTCAGCTTCCCAGTGAAAAAGAAATACAGCATGAACTAGATTTCTATTTCTTGTATTTTATACAGAAAAAAAAAAAAAGGATACTGAAGTCTTCATGTCTCCAGAAGCAGGGCTTTTTCCATACAAAAAAGAACAATACGTACCCAAACCATACTGATAGGTGCAATCATGAAAACATTGCTGCACAGAAGCTGAAATAGTTATCAGATAAAACACTTTAAAAATATGTAAGCTTTGAGAATGCCTCTGAAATAAAGCATATCCATGGTGGGAGTCCGGATTTTCTTTATTTGCTGAGCATTGATAACACCTGGCACGTTACCAAAACTAGAAAAAAAACACAGTAAGACAACTCCTCCATCTAACCAGAGCACCTGCAAAATTTGACATGTTCCTCTAATTCCTGCCTCGGACAGATTAACTCTGTCCCAGGAAGCAGCCTGCAGTTTATCCAGCAGCTAAGTACAAAGGCCTTCCAACGCTGATAACCAGTGGAAAAACAAGAGGTAAATACTTATGAGAAGCAAGAGCATGAAAGCAAGCAGCCTTCCCAGACAAAACTGAGATAATATTTTTCAAGTTAGAGAAACTCAGTTCTGATCCACAAGTGAGGATTCACAAGTGAGGCACTCCTCATTCCCACCTGTTTAGCTTTTACGGATACTTACGGGCCTGATCCGTGGGATTCATAAACTTCCCACTCTTGGTGGATGATGTAGATCTCCGCCCCATTTTGATCTTTTTTTTTTTTCTTCTGTCTCAAAAAATAAAACTTAAAAAACAGGGAGGCACCTGGAAAAGATGACATGGATTCAGGTCCTACACACTGGTAGCTTGAGGATGCTTGTTTCTCTTCTGTCAGCAAGTTTCTCCCTCAAAGAGCTCAAATACCTTTAAGGTCATCAAACCTGACTATGAGCTCAGCACCCATATCAAAATTGCCCTACTCAAAGTACTACTATTTAACTAAGCACCTACTTACTACTACTTTAATAAGTTATAATTTTAAACTAATAGATGAGTTTGTTATTATTCACACAACTCAAACGAAGAAGCTTTGCGCTTACACTCTTGAGGAGTTCATGGCAGGGAATAATGCATAATCTGTTTTTCTAAGAGGGTATCAGAGTTTAGCTTCTCATTCACTCTCATAAGTGTTTTCCATTTTTCACCTTTCTCTGTTTCAAATATTTCCCCACAAATCTCCTCCCTTCCTCAGACTTCTAACTGCCCCTGATATCTCTCCCCAGCACCCATCGTATAAGCAAGTGTAGGATTATTCTACAATAAATTATTTCCTGTCTTTAAACACTTCTTCAGCTTACAGATGACGGCGTAAGGGTCCAAACTACAGCCAGGGATGTTTCTTTTCTCCCTCCCCCTCCAAACCTACCTCCCAGCCAAAACACTGGGGTAGCTTTGTTTTTTTTCTTTTGCAAGACACTATCGCTTCTTTAGGTGGGAAGCTCACCAAACAGAGGTAGGAGCTACATTTACACCCTGTATTTCTTGTATTTCTAATATTTAAAGGCTAAAGGGAAAGAGAACAAACTACCGAAACGTCGATATCACATCTTCCAAGGACCCAGACTATAGAGTTTCAACGCAACAAGTTAACGGCCGAAGGTGAAAAGCAAATATAATAAATCAAGCACTGCATTCATTATTCTTTTGGCCACATGGGAACGGAGCAGAAAGCCCCCCCTCCTATTCCCGCCCGATGGAAGGAGGAAGAACATGAGGCAGCGCGAACTGCAGCCTTCTCCTCGCCTCTCCTCTCCTCGCAGCCCAGCCCCGCCGCGCCCCTCTCACCCCTCCGCCCGGCCGGGCCCGGCCGCTCCGGCTGCCGCGGCCTCGCTCAGCCCCGCGCCCGCCGCCGCGGCCCCGCCGCCATCTTGCAACCGGCACCGAGTGGCGGCGCGGAGCCGCGCTCCGGAAGGGGCGGCCCCAGCTCGATGGTTCCGTCGCCCCTCGCTCCCCCTCGGAGGCTCCAACTCTATGGTCGGGACTGGGGGAGGGCGGGAATGCGGGGCGGAAGTGGGGCCAGGCCGGAACAGGGATAGAGGCAGGGGTAGAGACAGATGGAGACCGGGAGATAGATACCAGCGCCCAGCTGGCCCGGGCGGGCTCTGGGAGCGGCTGGACACACGCGGTTCGGGAGGGATGTGCCCGTACAGCCAGTGCTGAAAATAGGGCGTCCAGCGCGGCCAACGCGGCCTCCGCTCCCCCACGCTCTCCGGGGGAGATCCCCCAAAATGCTCCCCGTGCCCTGAAGCAAGGTAGAGCCGAGGGGAGTGTGGGAAGCCTCTGTCCATGGGGGAATAAATGCAAAGCGCTGCGGGAACAGGGGGACAGCCTCAGGTCTGTTCCGTGGTTTATTTTAAGCTTGGCCTCACGGCAGCGCTGTTCCCCGTGAGCGAGGCTGGGATCCCTCTGCTGGGCTCCTGCGCCGGCGGCTCTTCCAGGGAGAAAAGTGACTGGATGACGTTCATCGGGCAGCTCAAATGTACAGAGAACGGGGGAGATAATTTGATGCCATCGGGAAACACAGAAGCTACTCTGTTACTCGTGTCTTCCTACAGCCCCCACTGTGGTGAACTGACGGGGCTGGTGAACACCTGATGGGAGCTGGTTTGTGTCATTGTCCAAAGTACGATTTCCAGCAAACATCCGCAGCACACGAAGAGCCAGGATGAAGATGCATGAAGCATCAATATGCAAGCTATAAAATATGGGTGCAGGCTTAAAGAACTAACATGTTGGGGAGGAGATGTAGGAAGGAAATTTTTCTCTGCACAGGTGGCATCTGGGAGCAGAGGTGGTCAAATCTCTGGGCAGGATTTCTTGACTCCCTGCTCCTGGGGAACATACCATGCAACACAATGTTGGTAGAGTTTTGCAAGTAATGGAGACTCAGTTGGCTAATTTGTAAGGATCACTGCGGGATGGGTAAAATACCATAAGCTATACATCACATTAATGCCAGCATTTAGTCACGAACTGCACAAAGTCAAAGTCAAGGAGCATCCTCAGAACCAAGTCTTCAGGAGATCTCAGTGCCTAGGGAGTCTTGCTTACCGCGTGCACAGCGTGGTCATCCCCACTTCGTGTGTCTTTGGCATGTTCTCCTTGTATTATTCTTGTCACCAGAAAGAGCATTCAGCTGGGCGGATTTTGGTTGCAACCGTACTGTTTTCCTGCATAGGTTTGGAAGCAGCTTAGACTGGTTTGGACTCATTTGCAGTTTTTTGTTCTTATTTGGAGCACATATATCACAGTTTTAATTCTTAGTCCTTTGCCCAGGGTGACAGCTTGAGCAAAGGCAGAATGCTCAAGAGGATGTGATGGAAAGCTGTGGCCACACACATCCCTGTCAGGTGCTATGTTACTGTAGAAGGGGATGGCTGAGTCTTCAAAGATTAACTGCGTCTCACCAGGCCTGGGGTCTTCTGTCCTGGCAATACTGGGCTCAGCAGGGACAGTGGTACTGCCTCAGCCCTGACTGCTTTCTCCCAGCAGTGTCTGCTGATTTGGAGGACAGTAGTCCTCTCATAATTTTCACTTGGTACTTCTGTCACACTGAGAGGCAGCTTGAATGAGTCCAGAGGGGAAACATCATCAGACTGGTTATGACATCTTTGGAGTGCCAAATGTAAGACTGGCCAGAAGATTGGAGAGAGCAGGAATTAAATCTGTTGTGGGGAAATTCACTTTCCTTTAAATCCACCAGGATATACCTAGAGGCGAGTATCAATTGTATATCTCTGTGTTCCTCACTGCATACTTCACTTGCCCTGACGCTGCTTAGCATTTGCATTCAAGAGCATGTGGGCAAATTGCTTGAAAAATACAACAGATTTGTTTTTATTTGACTCCACTTTTCTCATACAGCAGTGTTTGGCAATCTCTCAAAGAGCTGATTTTAATTCCTAGTTTAGAGTGTACATTTGCACACAGAAAACAGGAGCCAGTAACTCCTACCTCTCAGACACACAGATACTGCTGTTCTACTGATTGACAGTCTCTTGCCTCTGTACAAGTCCCTCTAAACTGAGTGCCACTTGTGTCAGGAGACAAGAGATGTTACATCTTGGAGAAGTGATGCCTTAGGTCACCACGTCATCCACTACAGTACCTCATGTAGGCAAGGCAGTGCTTTTTGCCTTTCCTGACTCACATAGCCCAGCCTGCAGCTGGTTTCTCAGTCCCTGGCACCCATCTATGCTTCTATGAACCCTGGGCTTTTTCCCTGATGACTTGGCAGAGCTGTTGAGTACCAGCATTTTCATTGCCATCTAGTGGCTTTTGTGCATAAAGAGGAAGAGGAGTCAGAAAATATTAAAGTGAGAACAGAAGTAAAGGAGAATAAAAACTCAACAAAACAAACAAACAAATCCCCCAAACCCCAAAATGGCAAGGTTGTAAATCTCATCCGTCTCTTTATTTCATAGGCACTATCTAGTTATTAATAAATTAAGATTGCTAATATTGGATATTAGTAAACATGTATGAATTTGGGCATGGTTTTAGTATGGGGGAAGCAGGTACTAAAAAGGAACCTATGCACAACCCAACTAGATTGGTCTATCACGAAGTTTAAAAAAATTATGAATTGCATGTGTAATGAATCTTTTAATACTTCTTTATTACTTCATTTAAGATTGGTTTTCAGACAAAAAAAAAAAAAAAACAAAACAAGAAGAAACAAAAAAACCCACCAAGTACAGAAAAGAGAGGTCTTCCAATACTCGTGCATTTTTATTAAATTACTTTTTTTAAATAAGATCAAGAAAAAAAATCCACAGCAAATCAGAGCAAGACAATACAAATAATGTTCTTGCTTCCAGCTTTGGTTTTAAAATCTGAAAAATAAGGACAATTGGTAGCATATTGTGAAATGCAGAATCAGCACATTCATGGCAGTCCCGCATTGGTGGGGTCGGGTAAAGCACTTGGAAATAACTTTAGGGCTGCAATCCTACAAGCACTTGTATATGTGTATAATCCCACTTCAATCAACAAAAGAGCAACTTTGCACAGAATTTTTTACATGTGGGTTGGCAGGAGCAGAGCATTACAAGCATAAGAGGTTATTCATGGCCAGGCACACCTGGAATGCAGCAGCTGGTTTCTCTCAGTTGTTGAGCAAGGTTGTGTGTGTTTGCATGTAGGTCCAGGCTTGTTTTGTCTGCCAATCTACTGGGATTAGAGTTTATTTAAAGACGATCTCTGGCCGGCTCCTTAGGAGGGCAGGAAATAGCAGTTAAATATGCTTCAGCTAGTCCTTGTAATGAACAGGGAATTCAGTCTATCGGATTTAGCACTAATCCACACTAAGAGTTTAGCAACCACAGATGTCTTCATAAAGCCTCCAGATGCTGGCATGAATTGCCTTGTTGAAATTGTTTGCTCCCATTGTGTTGTCATCTTTGATATAGAAACACACTTCTCACCACTACCACTCCAGCAGTCTGTATTACTTTCTCTAGTATGAATTACAGTTCATTACCTACAATGCTTCCCAGAAAATAAGCTTAAGGAAAGGTGCAAAGTATTTGAGGCATTGCCCCTCACCCCAAAATACCTGTAAACCAGTTCTCTATTAATTTCAGTGTCTCTATTAAGTTCAGTATTTCAGTGTCAACTTCCTTAATTGTTACTTTTCTTGTTCTGCTGCCACAAATAAGAAAATAAAAAGCCATCAGTATTTCATTTGTCATAATGAATCCACAAAATTTCTGCAGGCATAGCTGCTTCCAGGTGCTCTCACAGAAGAGAGAACTCCATTTATTGAACTTGCTGTCTCACCAAAGAAGTTACCTCATGGATGGCATGCTGGTACTTTTCTGAGGCTGCTTTAAACTCAGCCAGGTGCTTCTCGTAGCTTCTCACAGCTGTCAGAAGCTGACTCCTCTCCACAGCTCCCAGGATGGCATGGAGAATCATTTCAAGGCCAAGCCCAATAATGGTAATACTAACTCCCCCAAGAACAGATGCCCCAATCTGTGCAAGGAGACTGATGAGCTTGCTCACAGTGAGAGTTAAATGATCGGAGCCAAGAAGTTTGATAGCCACCATTGCAGCTGTTGAAGTTGCTTCTCCAAAAATAATGGAAAAAACTCTCTGGGCTATTGCAATTTTCTCCAGCTCAGGCTCTTTGATATCATATAGCTTCTGGTACAGCACTGGCTCAAGCTTTTCCTTCATGTCACTATCGATCTTCTGCACCTGATGCTGAATTGCACTCATCACTTGAATGATAATCTCACAGTTTTCCTTGACTGTACTGCTCTCTCTCATTTTGATGGGGGCAATAGTACAGCCCAGGTGTTCATTCAGCACGCCAACCAGCTCGTTTGTTGCATGGAAATTTGCGGACATGCAGTCAAGCAATTCCTGATGCAGATGAATCAGTTCTTGCTTTCTCTTGGGATTATCTGGGTAAAGGAGGTCACTCAATGCCATTCTTCAGAAATAAGCTACCTCAAGAGAGAAAAGAAATTTCTTACTCTGTTTAACACCCAAAACCATAGCCCTTAAAGTGCAGTGAAATGTGCTTTGTTTCTGCCCCACTGGTTCTTTTCATACTGAGCAGGTCAAATCCTAAGTCATAGCTTGGAAATGTAGAAATCTTAATTCTTGTTTTGGATCCTTGCTTAATGATTGGAAAAGGACCTTATAAGACATTGAGTATGCTCAGGGCAACAGAAATAACTAACAAATGTGTAATGAGCAGATTGGTAAAATGGATGTGGGTCACTGGCAACTGAAGATTGAAATTGAAACTGAACCTTGGAAACTGAAGATGATAGAAGCTGAACTAATTCACTAAAAAATGGAACAATCTCATCTAATCAGCAAAATTTAAAATGTGGCTTAAAGATTAAAGGGTTGTTCCAGGCACTCTTTTGCATCAGCCTATTTTTTCCATTTAGTGGCATCCAATTTTTCAGCAACCATGATGGTTGGTGGATATGGTTTGTGTCATAATAAGGGTATTTTATGCCAGTATAGCTTTTTTCTTCCAACATTCAAGGGAAAATGTTGCTATATAAGCAGTCTGTACTTATACTAAGAAGCTTACCCTTGGGAATTCATAGTGAGTAGTAAAATTGTCTATAATAACCCCATCCTAACTTGTATCACCTTACACACATCTCTATCCTTCCATGATATTTATTTCTTCATAAACTGCATGCCAACACAGAGAGTCCAAAGAGACTGAGTTAACAGTGATCATGGAGTTATTCCTCATAAATAAGATTCTGTGATCAACACTGTCACTTCCCCTTAACCTATCACCAGCTGCAAAGTGAAAATTCTTTAGCATTATTTCAACTTAAATGCAAACATTTTGCTATGGGGGCAAACTATGAATGAGTTGGATGATTCGTTTCTTTGTTGGTACTTTTTATGTTCTCTTATTGCAAATCTGGGGCACTTTTGTGCAGTGCTTTGCATTTTTCTAAGATAAACCTCTTCTTGCTATTGGTGCCTGCATATCACAGTTAGAGCTGCAAATAGTTATGTGTAGGGGACTACCCAGATTTTTCTTCTTAAAAAGATACCTTTGTGCCATTTTAGCCCTTTGTAGTTCTTGCACTATCTGTTAGCTGCAAATCATCTGACACTGACCCAGCTGTATTTTACTAAACACACCCTCCCCCACAAGGTCACAGTAGAAAACCAGAATGATTTCCACAACCCCCTGCCAACTTTTAATCTCAGTGTTGAAATACAAGCCAGTCTGAAAAGAGTTTTTTTCACCAATATTTTTTTTTTTGTATCTCTGCCAAGAGAATAAACTCTTTAATGCATCTTCTTATACAAGCTGTAGGGACCAAAATACATATACAGTAAAGGGTTGTGATTTTTAGGAAATATAAAGCCATGATAATGCAGGCTATGATTTCATATCAATCCTGCTTCAGGGATGTTCCTGGCTTGCCCTCTGACTCAATATGATACTAAAACCTTTCCACTCCAGTGGTGTTTTGTTGTAAAGTCATTTGTTTTCCCTTATTGGTAGAAACTGAGAAGACAAATTGTTTTAAAAGGGATGAGCTTTAACAAACATTTTACATACTAGACAGCTGTGGAGAAGACTTTTAGAATCTGTTCTTTACATATGATTATTTTGGTTTCTTATAGCTTTTCTAGATTTTATATCTCCTAATGCTAAAATTACTTCTTACTCTTCACATTAACACTTTCATTTAATATTTTCCTTCTAGAATTAGGCAGGCCACATATCTTTCTGTATTTTTATTTCTCCAGCTCCAGGGAGATTTACCACAGAAACTTTTTTAATTAAACATTTACACTGCCTACCTGATTTGGTCTGAATGCTCCTGTTGAAATGTGTATGGGATTGGAACTTCAGCCTCTTTCCCCTCTGCTCGCCTGGTATTTTCCAGCAGCATGTGATGAGTTAGGGATCTGGAGGCTGGGCTTCAGCTGCATCCTGTGCCTGCCTGCCTGTCATTAATTCTATTGTGTGATGTTTACCCAGATTCATCTCATTTTCTTCCTCCTCTCCCCTTCCTTCCAGTTTTAAGAGAATAGGCTGGCAACTGCCTGTATGTCACGTTCTGGAAACTGATTTCAGGTTTCAAAGAAATGTTAGTCCATCTTGGTTTTAAGAGTGGCAAAGAAAGGCTTCTCAGGGTCTGCCAGAATCTGCACAACTTAATGTACTTCTCTGTCTCTTCAACCAATACAAAAATCTAACTCCTCGATGCACATCTCGGGACCAACTTTCCCTATACTCAAAGGAGATAAGCACAGCTGCCCAGTTACCCGCTTGATTTTACTGCCATGGTGCCTTCCACATCCCACAGACAGACTCCCACTAAAAATAAAGATATTAAGAGATCTGTAAAGAGTCCAATGTCCCTGTGCCCCTTCTTTTCTGAATGCCTCAGGACAAAGCTATCTACAGTGAAGGTTATCCCTGATCTAGTCTTCAGAAAGGCCACAGATAACTTTCTTCCTATCTGAATGGGTCCAGGGAATGTCTGTTTTGATGAACCAAGCTGAATGTTCCGGTCTTAGCTGGAGAGTTGTAGCTGAAAGCAAAAGGAAGATTGAGCCTTCTGTAGCAGTAGGAACTCCAGAGTCTTCTTGCCTGCTATTCAAGTGCACATATCTGGATGCAGCCAGAGAATCGGAGACTGGGCCAAGCACAGGGAAACGGCAAGCACACTGGGGAGAATGGCAGAGGCGAGTGCGGTATAACCACTGTTCTTGCTTCTTGAAGCTGAAAGAAAGCACAGAGAGCAGTCATTTAGACACCTATTCGCTGCCTAAAGCTTTTTGCTTTTGCTAACACAACCGTTGCCCACAAAGGCCATTTTCTCAACTCCATCTATTATTTTGGCTTTGGATGCACAAACCTTCATTCTTAAATGACTGTTTTGAGCTCAAAGATTGCATTGACACACTACTGTACAAAGAGACAAAAGCAAGAGTCCTGGACTGGTGGTAGACTCATAGAAAGGTAAGGATGTGAAACAGGCCCCATGAGGTATTTTAGCATAGAGTTCTCTCTGTAATCAGGAATCTCAGTGTGTTCTTTGTCAAAGGATACCTTTTCTCCCTTCTGCCTCAGGGAGAGATCACTGCTAAAGTGTCAATAGCTTTGTTTGCACTTCTCTCAGCTTGCCCACAATAAGTGTAGAAGTAGTAGCTTGCCAGAGTAGTCAGTAATGGATCAAAACCTGGAATAGTCCTGGGGCTTGAAGTGTAGCAGCATTGAGAGACAGCAGCACAGATTAATTGGCTCAAGCAAACCTCACCCACTCTTGCAATAAGAATGCTGGGGACCCAAAGGCGTGGGTCCTTGCAACAATACATGAGATAAATGGATTCTGCAAAGAACCTCGAGACCTGCTGTTGATTCATCTTTAGTGAGCTGTGAGGTTGTCCCAGGTTTCACAGCAAAGAGGTAAAAGCTGGGTCTTGAGGTTCTCATAGGCAAACACAGCCGGCAAGGTACAGGTTTGGCCTTGAGTGTGGCCCCGTGTAGGTGCAGCTGGTAGGGGCTGCCTGGGGGAATTGGAGTCCAGACTGTGCCCCCCTTGCATGAGAGCCTGAATACAATACCTTCCACCAGCTGGCACTGGTACTTGCTGCAGCTCCCCACAGAATGCAGACGCAGCCGGTTACCCTGCTGGGTCTGAAAGAAGCTTTTGACGAGAAATATCTCGTAAGGGGGAATGAGGACTTCCTTCTCATATGTGTGGTGAGAAAAGCCTTGCAAAGCTGCTCCCAGGCAAGTGGTCACTGTGAACAAAGTTTCATTCCCGAACTTCTGGGCTTTATTCCTGAGGAGGGAGGTAGAAGTGAAACGGCCAAATCGCACCCTGCTGCCTATCTTGGCCTCTATATATAAGTCCTTTACACCCCTGTGCACCTGGTAGCACTTAGGTTCCCCCATGCTGCTCTGCCACTCCTTCAGTATCTGGAGAGCAGTTGTTAGGTAGAAGTGGAAATATTTAAAAGTGAAGTTGTGTCTGTAGTGCTCTGGAGAGATTCCTGCTGTAGATGTAGCCCAGTTCAGCTGCGAGTGCAGGGAGGAGTTCATGGTGTAAACCATGAGGACTATGGCATGGCTGTCACGCATCCCCCTCAGGAGTCCTACAGGGCTCTTTAGCAAAGCCTTCTGAGCCTTCTTCCAGAGATGAAAGTAGTCCTTTTTAGCAGCTATTTCCTTTTGAAAATAGTCTCCTTGCTCCAGTTCTTTCATCATCTCCTCTCTGCATCCCAGATACTGGTCATCAAAGGAATGCAGAGCCATATCCATCGGGGTGGTGGACATAGCCTGCAACATAAAAGCAAATTAAGATTAGCATCAGAGGTGTGAATGTCTTGTGTATCTTTGTGGATGCAAATCAAGTTTTTCTCTACCCTTTCCTCACCTCTTTGTCATTATTGGCAGAACAAGCAAGGCAGGTAGCAAATCTTTAGCAAGACCTTCCTGAGCAACCTCAGGTTATTGTCTCTACACCACCACAGGCAAATAATAGTCAGGATAACAGAGTTCTTATTTGATATGAATGTGCCACATTAGAATCCCCAGGAGCATTGGTCAGTTTAAACAGGCTGGAAAAGGAAAGATTCCATGAAATCTACTCACAAACACTCTATGAAATAATCTGGCTGCAAACAAGAAGAAAATTCCAACCAAGTAGCTAAAACAAATTAAGACAGGTAAGAAATGGAACAGAGGAATTGAAACCAGAAAAGTTAAAATCAAACCCGAAACTCCTCAAAGAACTTGTTTCAAATGGAAAAAAAGATAATATTTCTGTGGCATAAGCAATTTCATTATTTCAAATAAAGAGCAATATTTACCTCTTTTATCAGTATCTGTGAGAAGATCAGCAATAGGGAGCTGCCCAGTGTCACAAGCTTCCCAGAGTCCACCCAAGACACTGTAAAGAACATCTTTTTTTAAGGAAAGGTAATTTGCACCTGTTTGTTTCTGTTTTTCTTTGAACTGGAAAATTCTGCAGGTTGTAATTTGCACTCAGGTTTTGGTGGCTGTTCTTCAACCAGAGATCATTCGCCGAATTCTCGCTGCAATTCAGAAGTCATTAATCAATCCAAGCAGACAATTTACTGGTAGAAATGCGCCAAAAATCCATAAGAAAGTGTTTTGTTGCACCAACCTCAGCTGGTCTGAGTGTCCATCACCTTGATAGTTCTTTTAATTCCGAGGTATTTGGTGTTATTCTTGTAAAAAGGAAGAAAACTGTGGCTTGTAGAATTCTAAGGCACTTCTCCTGAGGAGTGATGTGTCAGGGTAGCTACTCCCTGGCTAAGAGTTTTAAAAGCCCTTTTAAAGAAATTGGCTCTGATAAAGCCATCACAGAAATGCAGGGTAGGTTGGGATCCCATCTGGAAGAAGTGATAACCTAACTCTCCTCCTCCTCCTCCTTATCACCCTCTGGTTTCTACTCGTGGGCTGCCAATCCTACTCTTACACCACTGCAGAGTGGCACCTTGTTGGACTGTTTGCATTGGGCACAGGCAAAATGAGTGCGTGTAAATGCACATTCTGTGCTGAGACAAACCTTTCTCTAGCAGCTGCTTTCTAGACACCCTTCCCAATACTGGTAGTGAGTTATTCAACCACAGAGCCCCATGGCCTCTTGATAACACTTCTGTATGGAAAGAGACAAGAACTGTCAAGGCTTTGGTTCTGACTACAGAAAAGTGAAGCCCATTTTCCATGGTCTGATAATGATAGGCTGGGTGAGGGAGGCACCTCCAGATACAGAGTGATTCCCTGAGATAAGGGACATTTGTGAAGCTGCTTGGATCATGTGGACAGAGCATCTGCAAAGTGTTGCTGAGATAAGGTGAGAGGCGACATAAAGGTCTCATTCTGGGCTCCTTTCAAACTAGTTGCTGCTGCTGACAGTATCTGCAGTCCCTGGTGACAGATGATGCCCTGAAGTGCCATACAAAGTGATGGATGCAGACTACCTACTTCTCCATCCTGGAATTTCTCTGTTATCGTGAGCTGTATTTCAGAAAGACTGCTAAAAGTGGATCCACAGGACGGCTCACGAATTTATTCAGAGGCAACTCCACCTCTGTTTGCGTAGAGATAAAACAGACATTAACTGAGACAGGCTCCCGTGGGACCTTGGCAGTCACGATAAACACCCCCACTAAAATGCTAATTCAGCTGCATATAATCCATTTGTAAATTATGTCCCTGGTTTTCCCCTTTGACCTGTAAGTGAATGTTTAGTATGAAGGGAATCAGAAGGAAAGGAATTTGCATTTTCAAACTCTTCAGAAGCAACTCAAGTTATTATTAAATACAAAACAAATACAGTGGCCGTAAGATGGCAGCAGAGGATTTGTGGCAGTGCTTAGCGCTGCATTAACCAAGCGAAAATCGAATTCCTCCATTTCAGCAGTAAATTTGTAACGTGATCTGAGTGCTCAGATCCCCAAAGGTCATAATGACTTCAGCCCATGAAGAGATCTGATGACACAGAGCAGATGACATAATAGAGGCCTCTGGGTGTAACACTTTTTGCCTGAAAAAAAAAATTCTGAAAGGAAAAGAAAAAAATATAAAACTAACAGAAAGATGCAAATATAGACAGGAAGCTTTTTGTGCTAACAAAACCATACAAAAAAAAAAAAACCCTAACTATTTTATTACTATAGTGAATATTAGGATTCTGCTAATCTCTCTGGTATTTTTTCAAGTAAAATTTCACTGTTTTCAATAAAGCACTCTATTAATTTTTACTAGATGGCATTCAGAGGAGTGTTTTACTGTGAGCAGTGAAGCCCCATTAGTTTGTGTCAATAGAGGAACCAGTCACAGGTGTTTGACCAAGACATGCAGAGATATTTATTGAGTATCTTCACCTTGGCCAAGATCAGCATTGCCAGTGCAAGCCACAGAATCTTGCCAAACAAGGCTCACTCTGGCAGCCATCTCTGCAGACTTATCCTGTGTCCTTACTTCAGGACAAGGCTTTTCAGAGAAATGCTCATCTGGGTAGATGGTGAGTCAGGTAAAGCCTGGCCCTCCTCTCCCTCAGTGTCACTGAGTGCTGAACTTATGACCTAAATGTCAGTGTCATCATTTCTGATTCACTGGGGCAGAAGGAAGCCTCATGCACTGGGTTCCTGCTCCTCAGGGTTCACAAAAGCAGGCTGTGTCCTCCAGGCATCTCTTTTAGCACAGGTAAAGGTTGTAGAGAAGAACAGAGAGAAGCAGCACTCCAGCCCCCTGTACATAAGCAGTATTTATTGCAGTTAGCAGCTGAGGATGGTTGCACCAGCTTCCATGTAACCAGAGAGATTTGGTCTCTGCCAGTTTCCTGAGCATCAGCAGTCCCTGTCCTTGGAGGTGTGAGCCAGCTCTCAGGGAAGAAAGCTGACAGACTATATTAGGAAGGTTATGCAGAAAGTTGCTAAGGTATAATATTAATACCAGAGGACAGAATGAAGTAGTGCAGAGGAAAGACAATATGTATATAAAAATTAATATACATTATATATACAGCTACCAATTGTCTTGAATAAACAAAACACTGCCCAATCCGTCCTTGAACCAATTTTTTTTTTTTTTTTTTGATTTCATATGTATAGCTTTCTTTTCTTATTTTTTTAAAATTTATTTTAACTGTTTAGATGCTTTTAGTTTCAAGTATAAATGCAAAAGCAATAGAGGAGAAGAGGGGCTTTTTTGGTTCTGCTGGGTATTTTTAGTTTCAGTAGAAGCTGGCTGGAAAAAAAAGCAAACCAAACCAAAAAAAAAAAAAAAAAAAAAAAAAAAAAAAAAAAAAAAAAAAAAAAAAAAAAAAACAAGCGAATTCGAGGTCTTTTTTTTACAGTCATGGAAAGCAGCACACAAATGCAAGGGCTCATCTAAAAGGACTTCTTAAACACACCTCTTGGGTTTTATTTATTGTTGCTATACAGGCAAACTTTATGACAGAGTAATCAGAAGAGTGTACCAGAAGCTGATTGCTATCTATGCAAGAGTATTTGCACACTTCTATCTTTACAAAATTATCTTACTGTGATGCATATTTAATGTGATTATACTACATGAAAATACTGAACTTTCCCACTAATTGGAACAGGAGACAGGTGTTCTTCCTTCTTCACATCCCAGGATCAGATCCACCACATTTACACACATTGTGATAATCGTCTTCGATAAGCCTCCTGTGTTTTGCAGAAGAGGATAAGAGATCTAGTGATATTTCTAAGGCATGCAGTGGTTTTCTTGAAACTAATCACCATTTCTCACTTATTGTGTGCTGGGGATTCAGATGGAAGGAATTTAGACAGTCTTCTGGTGAAGCTCAAAATACCACAAAAGATGTCTGAAGAGAATTTTTATTGATGAAAGGAAGAAAGTTAATGGAAACTCAACAAGTGGGATAATCCCTGCCTTGCTGTTCCAGCTGGTTAGGGAGACAACAGAAGGAGATGCCAGTCCAGATGTTTTCCTTCCCTCCTTCCCAACCACAACGAGTATTCCAAGCCAAAGGAGTAGAGAGACCTTCCCATGCTCAGTATCTCCCAAAGAAGCGGTTGTAGGCCAGGGCAAACCCTACTTGGTCAGAGAGGTAGTCACAGGGGGGGTAGTTCTCACAGCGCTCATGCATCTGCTCCAGCGGACTTTTGTAATACTCGAAGTACCTGGAGGAGACAAAGGCAGAGATGCCATCCTGCAGTTTCAGCCAATACATTTGGAGACAGTTCACACATCTGACACTGACATGAAAGAAGTGATCCTCCAGGGTGACCCCACAGAGGACTGGTCATGCTGAGTTAAATATGTGCTTATACAGGGATAGGCTACTTGATCAATGCTGAGAAACACGGGATTGAACCCAACTTAAATCAACTGCTCTTGAGGTTTTATCAGCAAAGGATACCACAGAAGCTGTAAGGATTTGGGGGTGGGCTTTTTTGTCTTCAATCTCATACTCCAACTACCCAGGAATATTTTTTTGTTGTTGTTATTTATTTAATGATATATTTATTATTTCCTGCTTACCTTCATTTTTCCCACTAGCCATTATTTTCTTTTAGCTTAAACACTTTTCTCTAATTATCCTCACTTCTGTTGTAGACAGGAGCACTATCCCTTGTAGCTTTTTTTTTTCTTTTTTGCCAGGCTAAGAAAGCCCAAATTTTTTAGTTTCAGCTGTACACTTTGGATATCACTGTCAGTTCCTCTTCTTTGGTTAATCTTTCCTGAAGACTGTACACACCACCACAGAAATCTCACCAGTATCCCATGAGTTGTTACTTGTAATAAAAACAGTAACTTAACAAGTTCTTCCAGGAAATACATTAAGAACATCCTTGAATTACCTGAAAATTCTCAAATAGCTAGGATTTCTCCAAATCTTTGTGTCTACTTTCTGCACAAGTAAATATACATTCTACAGCTTCAGAAAGAAAAGCCAATCTGATCTAGCTTTATTGCTGCAACAAAGCTGTGCTTCCTTTGTGGGAAACCAGACCCAGCAATGACCAAGGCTCTATGATCCTCATTATCCTAAAAATTGATTCTCATTATCCTAAAAAAGACCCTGCAGGGTGGAGCAGCTTCTAACTTGTATCCCATTGTGTCCATGGCTAGCACAGTTAGTGCTGTCTTTCTCCCTGGGAGGAATACTAGAATCCAGCTATGAGCCTTCAAATGGATTTTAATGAAAAAAGAACCATTTTTCCATCACTGAATGTCTCCTACAGCCTTTTTCCTTCAATACATGAAGGTAATAACATAGCTGTACAACAGAATAATGCCTTGTCATGCCCTATGGCTTTCCCAACCCCTTTTCAGAGCAGGTCCTGAGTCCAGCTCTCAGCCCAGCTCCTGAGTTGTTACCATTCGTAAGGGCTGGATCTCTTCTTCCTCTTCACAAAGGCATTGGCAACTTCTTTTTTGATCTTGATGCCTGCCAAGGGAGAACACAGTGGGTTAGAGCTGCAACACTGAAACACACAGACCAGCCTAACCTCTGAAAATCAGAATCTACTTTCTTCACAAGCAAATGACTGCCACAAACCATCCTAATGGCCCATTCATCTCTCCCCATCCCACTGTACACTCAAAGCTCCCTCCTCACTGCAGCCTTCACATCTCCATGAAGCAAGGGCTTTTTCTGTCACAAACTCAATGTCCTTATCACATAGCATAATCTGAGTCTGCAGCAAATGTGCCAAAGGCATAAAATATGAATAAGAAGAAAATTAGGAGAATGGCACCCTCTCTTCCTGGCCTACTTAATTTTAGAGTCTTGGCTTCCTTTCTGTGTCTTGACACAGACTGAGAATGATGTGGGATACAAACCAGAAGACCTTGAAGCACCTCCAATGAGCCATGAGCAACAGGCAGTGCACAGAAATACCAGTGCTCACATGTACAGAGTTCTGTGAAAAGTGAAGTATATAAATAGTGACAGTAAACCAGTGAGAAATACACCCAAGATATGCAAAGACCCCAGCATTCGGGATCTGGAGAACATAGGAAGTGTTTCAGCCATGAAAGCATTTGCCCCTGCTCTCCATGAACACGTCATGTCTGCAGAGCTGCTTCTTTGCTCCCTTGATTTGTCGTTGTGCAAACACCATGGTGCTGTGAAGGACCCCACAAAGCCCAGGTGCAGCCACTTCCCAGCCCGAGCCAGGGCTCAGCACAGCACAACCTCACTCCATGGCATGGTCTCACAACAACAGAGGTGCTGGCACAGCAGCAACACAGGCAGCTGCATACCAACACACATTTCAGCATGGAAACTGGCAAATTGTTGCTGTCTCTGAGGGAAAAAAAATTCTAAGACCTCTGCCTGTGGGGAGATGGTGAGGTTTGTCCCTTTCCTCATCATCATGGAGTGTTTGGCTGTGTTTCTCTTTGGAGGTGAGAGGTATCCCATCCCCAGCAAACTGAAGTTTGGTTTGGATCAAAATACTGACTACACAGAAACTGCCAGTTAATGAGTTGTCAGAAACTACCACCTTTCCCTGAACAGTATTTACATTTTTTTTCCTCTTTCCCAATCTGTGTTTGTATTGGCTCAGTGGAAAAATACCAGCTTTCATGCTCCTCAGCAGCAATGTTATCCTTTGAAGTGTGAGGAAGGAGACATGCGAGAGAACAAAAAGGATTTTCCATACAGATTTCTGCCAGGATCAGCTTGCTGCAAAAGCTGTGAACAACCCAAGGTGTGCAAATCCAGCATCCCAGGTGACCTGACAGGAGGGACTGCAGCTTGGCAGCAGCCAAGGAAGCCCCTCACTTTCAGGGTTTCCTTGTTGCAGGACTTGGAAGGGATATCACAACCCATTGATGTGGGCAGCTTCTGCTCTCAGAACAGCCTGGGGATGCAGCAGTCACTCTGGACAGGTCTCTGAAGCCAGGTCAGAGCAGGGGGACTCCACCAACACAACCCCGTTTCACAGAAGGCAGATGCATCCAGCTGCTGACAACCTGCATCACTCACGCCTTGCCAGAGCACTGCTCAGGGCGTGTGGAGATGCAGCCTGCGGCACCAGGCAATGCTAGCCTTGCTGGTGCAGGGACACTGGCTGCCCTCATGTCACCTGCTCTGCTTGCTGCACATGCTCCTGCACCTCAGGGACTGCTGACTTAGGGAGTGAAAAGGGAAGAGTTAGAGAGGGACTCAGCATGGTTCTTGATCAGCCCTTGAACCTATCAAAGGGAAGAAAGAAGGCAGATGAAGGAGAATGGAGCTGAGCATCAGTCAGAATGATATACTCACTGTCAGCACTGAGAGATCCTGAGGGTTCTTTGGCATCTGGAAGACAAACAGACAGACAGACAGATAGAAAGGAGTCTGCTAGTGAGTCCTTCTATGCTTGTGAGTCATCCTCCTCTGTAACTGAATCCCATCACTGACTGGCACAATCCAGTCCCCCCCTCCCCCTTTACATAGGTCTGTTTTTCCCAAAATGGTTTTATTAACACTCATCATTTAGAGGGAGACTAAACGATAAACCAGTTGAAATCTTAAACATATTAAAATACTCAAATTCTCTGCTGAAATTCAATATGCCATTGAAGTGAGGCTGAGTGGGTGTTGACCAATGGAAGAAAATGCCATAAAAAGATGGGGGTCTCTGTTCCCAAGCCCTCTTTCATCCATGACTCTGTCCAACAGAGATCTGAAGCTGTGCAATGACTGGTGGTGCATCTCCTCCCCCCAAAGCTCTGTGTCTCTCCCAGACTGGAGGGAGGCTGACAGCAAGCTCAGGGCTCAGCAGCTCTCTGAGAGCCTTCCTGGGAAGATGTCCCCTTACCTTTCTCACAGCAGCAGAGTGCTGCCAGGGCCAGAGTCACGATCAGCAGTGCCAGCAGACTCCTCATGTCTTCTTTGGCTGCACTGGTCTCCCTAACCTCAGAGCTTTCCTGGAGGTTTTTGAAGTTCTCCGGGGCTTGCTTTTGGGCAGCAGTTTATATCCTGTGATTTCTTGGAGAGATCAGGGATCTGGCTTGCGTTCCTGTGTCTGCACTCCAAAACAAAGCCCGTTCTTTGGGCCAGGAGATACTGGGTCCTGGCAGTCATTTTGGCATCCATCACATGACTCGGGGCATTTCCAGAAGATTTTATCTGGGGTTTTGAATGGGGATGTTGAAGAAAAACAACTGGATTTAAAAAATCATTTTTCTTACAGACTTGAAAGTCATTCAGTCATGCTGGAAAGCCAGGGGAGAGACCAGCACACACTGAAGTAGAGCAATTCTTTTCCCATGATGGGGCTCTCTCATGTGGAATTTCTCAAATGAGACTGAACACAATGGTGACCTTTTCCTCCACCCCACCTTGACTCATTACCCTGAGGGTAAAGAAATCTGTAAATCAGCTTGCACAGGGCAAACACAGTAGTTTTTCAGAGAGTTTCACAGTTTCACCAAATAGTTTCGAAGAGATGAGGTTTTTATACTTTTAGGAACTTTGGAAGTTAGTTTGAGGGAAGATCTTTATATTTTCCTCCTAGAAGTCTTCATAATTTAGAAGCTTTATTTTGACTTCTCTTGTTTCAGAGTCAAATAAACATTTAGACTCCAAAAGTGTTTTACTCTTCAGAACCCGAGTAGCTAAAGTTACTTGGTACAACAAGAGTCTTGCATGGGCTATGTGTCAATAACCCCACACTCCTCAAACCCCCTCTCCAAGTTACCAAAGGCATGTCCCACAAACAGCATAGGAACCACAGAATAAGCTGAGCTGGAAGGGACCCTCAAGGATTATCAAGTCCAGCTCCTGGCCCTGCACAGAACACCTCAAGATTCACACCATGTGCCTCAGAGCATTGTCCAAATGCTTCTTGAACTCTGCCAGCCTTGGTGCTGTGACCACTTCCCTGGGGAGCTGTTCAGTGCCTAAACACCCTCTGGGTGAAGAAACTTTTCCTGATATCCAGCCTAAACCTCCCCTGACACAACTTCGGGCCATTCCCTTGGGTCCTGTCACTGATCACCAGAGAGCAGAGATCAGTGCTGCCCCTCCACTGCCCCTTAGGGGGATGCTGTACACTGCAATGAAGTCTCCTCCTGGCTGAACAGACCAAGTGACCAAGCTATAGCAGTTGGGGTTTTTTGTTTTGTTTTTTTTTTTTAATCAAGTGTGCTCATTCTTTCTGGTAGCAGAGGCATAATCATAATCTTTCTCCATCTCATATCCAGTCCTCTCATACCCATGTACAGGATTAAAGAAGTAAAGTTTTGGAGGCTCCCAAGGAAACTCAGAGCCATTAGGGATTTTTCCAATTCTTAGAAACACTGTCTTTTAACTTAGAGAATTTTCAGGATTAAAATAAACTTTTGTCCCTCTTAACTTTTCTACAGTCCAGGAAAGCTGAATATATATACTAATGACGTCCAGCAAAAGGTCTTGTATGTATATTATTGCAGCAAAAGAGCAACAGTCAAAAAGTAAATAAACATCTAAAAATAATAAGTATTCTAAGAAAGTTATGCTTACAGATGAATACTTGAAATAATATAAATATATAAATGTACAATTCTAGTAATCCAAACAGCTTTATTTATCCTTCCATGTTTTCCCAAGCTTTCTAACCAGCATATAGTCTCTTAAATATGTTTGGTTGTTGCTTACACTAATAAAATCCCACAGAAATCTCTGGTATTATTCATTATTTATACTGGTTAACTGGGAATTGGAATCACTGGATATTTCTGGACACAGACCCAGACAACACTAGACCCTGTGCCTTCTATTGTGGTGGTGTCACAGTGTCAAGTCAAACCCAGGCACTGCATACTTGTTGATTTTAGGATATGTGAGTTTGCTTCAGTTGGTGATCACAAGATTCACTTAATTGAGAACATAGAGAACAAGTGTGTGCAAATATATCTAATCTGTACAGGTTTTTACCTTAAAATCATTTCTCTCTAACTTTTTGCTCTGAACAAAACTTTAGCAATTGTCAGGGTGGAGTTTCCCATCAGAAGTGTTTTCAATAAATGAATCACATTTCTTTCTAAAATTCAGTTCCAAAGCTGGCAAAACCTTGAAGCATGTTTTGGAAGGAGATGCATGTTTCTAACGGGCCAGGTGGATTTGGCTCCAGACTTAATTTCACAGATTAGTCAACAATTTGATATTTTATACATCATAGACTTTGATTGCATGCCATGAATCTTTCCAACTTCCATGATTTGCAGGTGCCTGTGAAAGCCTGGAAATGTGAATGTTGAAACCATCTGTGTTGAGCTGAGATAGATGTTATGTCTCCTACACAAATCACACCAGGGGGTGACCCAGCTGCTGCGGCTGCTGTCAAGCCCAGAGCAGCACTGAATTCTTGGACATGTTAGCACTGGTGCCTTTTGGCCTGGGGACAGGCCCTGGTGATGGTGAGCAGAATGCAGCCATGCTCACTCCTCAGAGGTTCAGGAACTGCTCAGTAACTTGTGCACAGGGTCAAGCCACATCTTGATTTCAAACGATTTGTGAACAGTAAAATGAAATTTTCAATTTTGTTCTATGTGAACAAAGTTGGGCCTGACCCCAAACACTGATTTCTTTTTTCTGTGTATTTACCACCAGAAGCCCCTCTCCAGCTTTGACTTTTGCAGCTTTCAAGTGCTACCAGAGTAGTTTCAAGTGGAAGGGTTTTGAAAGGGGATTGCAAAAGGAAATACAAGTCTGGACCTCACACTCCTTTCTAAAGAAGCACCTAACATCAGGACGTGATGGTAGCTGGATAAATAAGAGACAATTCACTGGCTTTTTCTGTCACCAATCTTAACTTTGTTTTAAGATTTTAAATAGGTGCCTTCTGGATTTTGTTTCCCCACCTGAGGAAAGATTTGATTTTCAGAAATTGCATCTGCATTCTGAACACCCCACTGGTTTTGGACATCTTAAGACTGAAAGCTGAAACTGTCCAGTGACCTCTGAAAGAAGCCACTTGTAGAACCTGGAGCAAGAGCATTATAGATTCTTCCAAGGCCGTATGCTTGCAAGATAATGATGTTTTTCCCCATAATCTGCAACAGAATGTATTCAGTTCCTTCATGGAAAATTGCATACCCCCCTCCCAAAATACTGTGAGTCATGAGAAGATAGTATCAAACTAGCAATTTATTTTGTAGTAAACACCCACATCCTGAACTCTCTGTGATCTCTGCTACATCAGCTCAGCACTAATTAACACAGTGTAGGAATCCATGGCTACATGGGAGAGAAGCAGCAGGCAGGATAACATACAGGATACAAGCAACTGAGTATGTTTCAGAGCCATTGCGATTTTGGGGAGGATACCCTGGACTCCAGGTACCAGGGTGGGGACAGGTCATCCTTTACTTAGTCCTCCTCCTCCCCCCAAAATAGTGCTTGTAAGCAGCAGGGTAGCCATGGCGAAAGGCATACATTTCACAAGGGTGGTAATCCTCACAGAGCTCCCTCTGATACTCCTGGGATGCCTTACTGCGCTCCCTGATCCTGTAAAGGGAGGAGAGAAGAGGGGTAAGTGCTATCATCTTAAATACCTGTCTACAGCCCTTTCCTGTCCCCAAACTCCCCACTGGGATTAAGGATCCTCCATCAGAGTCCATCATCCAGCTACAGCACACCAGCTTCTGTTTACCATACCCAGGGAGGGACATGACTACAGCAGGAATGTTTTGCCTCCTCAGGCAACCTTTTATTTAGGGGCTAAGTAAGGTGGTGGAGAGAGGGGAATGGTTCCTGCCTCATCTTAAGGAATGGTCCTTCCTTTGCAGCCTTCCCCAGCCTGCTCTCTTCAGCTCTTCTGCTCCTTCCCAAACATATATATAGAAAAAAGACCTGAAATATTCTGTAGAGGGGTCACCTGGTACTGAGGAGGTTTGCCTCATGCCTGAGAGATTAAGAGATGATTTCTGTACTTCAATCTTTATTTTCACAAGCCTTGAATAAGGCATTAAATTGGTTATTTCTGTATTTTATAGGTGAGGCAAGGAGGCCCTCAGATGGTCCTTTGATTTAGAAAAGGTCATGCAAGTTCTGTATGAGATCTGAGGACTAGAATAAGGTTTCAAACTGAGCTTTCTTTCAGACCATCCCACACTCATTCTCTCGTCTTCTGTTGGTGCTTCCTTCTGAAAAATTAATCAGTCTTCTCAGCATGTGACATGTCTCCAAATCAAAGGACCTGCTCTCTGTTATCTGAACTCTTGCTTTTCCTGGGACTAGGGACTTAAATGGTACCTCACATTAAAAAAGAGACTGAGGCTCCTGACAAGTCATCATGGCTGTCACCCCTGCTACCAGCCTGTGCTTGGCAAGGAGGAATCTCTTCCCACTCTCAGCCCCAGCATCCCGAGGCCATGGCATACCTCTCCTGAGTGATGGCTCTTAGTCTCGTGTCAGCCTGTATGAAGTCATTGGCCCTTCGCCTGTTGAGGAAGGGATCTGAGAAGGCAAGGGGTTATTCAGAATGGCACTTCTTCAAAGCCAGATTTCAACAAAAGCTAGCTTCCTCCTTTGTAACAGCCTCCTTGTCTGCCCTCCCATCTACAATGAAATCCAGGACCTTTTAATATCTCCTCCTGTCCCTTGGCTGGTTCATGTACAGGCTCTCTCAGTGGCTGGTGCAACCTGTACAGAAGTGCCCATGCTGCTCTTGTTCTGCTGTTATTCAAATCACCCAGGGCAATGTTACTGTGATTTTTGCTGCCACAGCCCTCTGAGTGAGTGGAGCTTGGCCCAGAAGAGATAGGCACCAAGCTACACAGACCATGGGACATCTGAGCACTCTCAGAAGAGCTACAAGAATTGTGAAATTGCACACAGGAAGGGCCTCAGTAACACCCTCTGCCTCCAAGGTTAGGCAGTCATTGAGAAGTTTGTTTGGCAGTTTTGGACTGAGGGGCCTGAAAGTCCCTTCTGACTGTTTTGAGAAACATCACAGTCCTATTGCAGAGTTCAGG